CGAGCAGTTCCGGGACGGGAGTGGTTGGGCTTTTGCGCATAACCTCCTCAAGAATCAAATGCAACTTCTTTCCACACCACTCTGCGGCAAAGGTGCCAGCATGCCCATCGAAAATTGCGAAATAGCCATTGTCTGTTTCTACAACGGTAGATGAATCCTCTGATGACTGCGACGGGCTGCCCTTGGGGGGACTAGAACCATTGGTCTCCAGTGTAGTTGGGGAAGGGGTGCCCAAGAAATTGTAGAGATAGGCATGTGTATCTTCCATTGTCCGACGACATTTGCGATTCCGGTCTTCGGTAACACCAACGCGGAAGGACGATCGAGAAGTCGGTACGGATTCACCGGCGGAGTTATTGAACGACCCTTGAGGGACGCTGAGAGCTGGGTCCATCTTTCCAAGCTTGTGTAGTGGGCTTTCCGCGATCGAGGGACTGGTGCTGATCGCAGAACTGTCCCGGCCGTTCAAGCTCAGGGAGCTTTTCGCGTTACTAAAGAAGTTGGCCGCTTTGGTGACGGTACTACTCCTGCGCTTCTTCTCGCCAGCGGTACCCTGTTCTTCACTTTGTCGGCGGTTGAAAAATCCAGCGCTGGGTGGAGAGAACCTCTTCTCACGTGGACTAGTGCCGATTGTATCGGTTTGGAGGGTCAAGGAGTTGGGGTCGAGGCCAGCCTCTGGGAGTGCGTCTACTCTGTCTTTAGGTGGGCTTGAGGAGCCACTGAACATCCTGCTCAGTAACCCACCCTGCGAAGAAAAACTGCGGCGCTTATTTCCTGCCAGCTTGATTGTATCCCTTCAAGAGGAATTGGTGTATCTGGGGGGGTGGTGGTTTGGTGATGGGCGGGGCGAACACGGAGGGGGTGCTGTGAGGCTGACGTAGAGGTTTGGTCGGTTAAGGCGGAAGTGGGAGGAAATAAGCTGTAAGTGTTGAATAAATCAGCGACAAGTATTTCTTGGAGGCAAAAAAGTGCCTGAAATGAAAAATAAGGAAGAGTGAAGTACAAGAAGAGGAAGATGGTTTAGGCAGTGAGCGCGGCACAGAGCAATGGGGGGGGCGCATAGTAGGATCACGAGGGGAAGTGGTTCGTTCTCTCTCCCAAGACATTAAACATGAAACGCAAATAAGAAAAAAAGGCCAATCAGAGAAATCAGAGCAATTCAATAGATGAAACTCATTAATCCTCCAAACAGGTACAATGCGCATTTGCACCATTGGTTGTTCATGTATAGCGCGATCTGATGAACTGACCACTGACCACTTCCTAACCAGGCACGGGACAGGGAAATTGATATCAGATGAAATCAATCAAAGGAACACACTTACTAGTGAAGATTGATAGAATGAGATTGTGAAAAGGTGAAAGATGAAAGGTGGAAGAAGGTCAAAAGAGGAAAATCACCCAAATCACTTCCGCTGAACGGCTCACACGGCACTGGGCGGAGAGAGCCAAGACTGTCGGGGTGGAAATCTTAGATCTGATATATGGGGTATTGCATAGTATATATATATATATCTTATTTTTTATATTTTATTTCATATGTTTCATAGGATATTGGAGTTGTGATATGATTTTAGTTGGGAACTGGTCTCAGTACATATCCTCTTGACTCTCCGCATTTGGTCGATGACGCTATGATCTTTCTGCTTATCTTCAACAAAGGTGGCTTCTTTCATGCTGTATGCCATGTATGCCATGTATGCCATGTACGGCATATATCCCATGTATTGTGCAGCTAACCTGGTAAACTCTGTTGATATACCTGCTTCATCAACTTCACCATGAACGGTTTTCTCACTTTTATCAACCTCGGTCCCCTTCTCACGCCTTCTTGGTGATAAACCTTACAAGTCTTACACTATAACCTGGAATATGTTCTAGAAATATGTTCTTAAGCCCAATCATTTTCTGTATATCACCCTGGTCTTTCTTAATGACTAGGCTGCACTTGTAGACCTATCAGGTTCTACGCCTAACCCTATCTGTGGTCAAGCATATTCATATTATAGTACAAGTTGAAGGAGGGGGAAAAGAGAATTGGAATTAGATCAATTACCACGAACTAAAGTCTCCAAAGCCTCCAGGCCCCTTGGCCTTTTTACGAGCGGGCTCAGGTGCAACCTTCTCATCTAGGAACTCCAAGATCTCATCCTCCCCCTGCCCATCCTGGTCTGCCAGTCCTGCCTTCAAATACTTTCCAATACCCGAGGCACCGTCGTCAGTTGAGTCCACCTCTCCACCGCGAACTCGCTTTCCAGTCCAAGTGACACGGTCATCTTCCGCACGTCGAGCAGTCTCATCTGCCTCTTCTGTAGAAGGACCTGTGACACCCGTGGCCCGCGCTTCCTCGGCGCGCTTCTGGGCTAGGAAATCCTCGAACGGGTCTACGAAGACCGTGATTTCCTTGATGCGAATGTCGGGGGTGGGACGGTTGGTGTTTGGTTCCACTGGATGGATCTCTAACTTATTCAAAGTCGTGGACGAAGGAGTTGGGTCGTCGATGAGACGGCCAAAGACGGTGTGCTTGAGGTTAAGATGAGGCAGGGCTCGATAGGCGAGGAAGCTGAAATCATATGTTAGCACTCATTGAGCCAGGAGAATAGCAAGTGGCCACTTACAATTGACTAGTATTGGTGTTTTTGCCCTTATTGGCCATGCTCAGCGTGCCTCGGGCATCGTGCTTCAAGGGCCCCTCGAATTCATCTGCAAAGTATTTGCCCCAGATACTTTCGCCGCCTCGTCCAGTACCAGTTGGATCACCACCCTGGAGCATGAAGCCCTTGATATTACGGTGAAATGGCACATCTGTGTAATATCCCTTCTTGGCCAACTGAAGGAAGTTCCACACGGCTTTGGGCGCATGCTCGGGATACAACTCCAGATTAAGATGTCCCGCGGTGGTCACAATGCGCGCGTAAGCCTTGGCCTTCACGCGCCCCCGCTTGAGCATGTATTCCTCTTCTGATAGTACCGCTAGCTCGGCAGACGTGTGCGGTGTCAGTCCTGTGCTAGTGAACGAGGCTGCCGCCTTGCCTGTAGTGAATCGTGCAGCGTTGTAGGGTGTTGGTTTTCCTGATTGCGCTTTAGAAGCCACATTCGCAGCTCCAGTCTTCGAAACCGCTTTTGAGCCGGCCGCAGCAGAATCAGCCTGCTGAGCACGTTCTGACCGTGCCTTTGCAACCGCCTCTTTCGCTTTCAGGATCTTCGCCGAGCTGCCAAGTGCACTGGTGTTGACACTCCCAGAGGTCTGTTGGCCCTCTAAAATTCCCGTCTCCCCCTCCTTGATGTAGTTGAACGAGCTGAGGTTGCGCGACTCGATGTTCTGTGGATCCTGCAAGGTGATAATATCTTTTCGGCTAAATTCCTCATCCGTGACCAAGTCGCGCCACAGTTTTCCCTTGATGTTGAGTCGCTCCACTGTATCCCAGGAAAAGACATTCCCTGTATTCCGTAATGCGACAATATGTGTATTATCTGTCAGGATCTTGTAGGTCACCGGGTCGACGTAGTCGCCATCCTCGTTCTTTGCGATAGTCAACTTAATCAAGTCCGAGCTCTTCAACGGGGCTCCGTCGACGGGATTGGTCCCATGCTTCTTGATCCATGGCAGGATATTCGTGAGGTCGAAGAGTGTTCCTGTAGGCGTGCAAACTGGGTGTGAAAATGGTTGGAGGGAGAGGGAGCAGAAATTGAATGGCAAGCGCTTGAACGCGGCGTGGGGACCACCTTTCTTGGCCTTGGAAACTCCAGCACCAGCACTGGCCGAGAAAGCATCTTCGGATGCCCACTCGGAGTGTGTGATCTAGAGAAAATACGATTATCAGCGGGGATTCAAGATGCGATAGGAGAGTGTTGGAAGTAGAAAATGAAGATGTCGCATACGTAAAGCTTATCGGTTCCTATAGTCAATAACGTTAGTCTAAATCTGTCCAAAAACAACTCTCACGCAAGACATACCTTTTCCCATAATTGAAGATCAAGCTGTTTCTAGCAACTTTCGCGCAGACCGCGGAGATCAAATGACGGCAGGAAGCTTACTGCTTTGAGATTAGAGTAAGAGTATTGCCGGACAGAAAAGTAGGCGGAGAAAGAGCGGTGAGTTCGCATGAGGCGACTCCTAGTCAAGTGTTTGTCGTGTTTGTCTGAGAGAGAAACAGTGTAATCGTGCCAAGCCCACCACCACGTGTTGGTGGGCCCCAGTCATTCCTATCTTTGTATGGCAACTCTATACAAAAGGTACCTAAAGTATTGTATACCTAGGTAAGACCGTCAAGAAGTGTAGGGGAATATAAAATGGTACATATATTGTATATATTACCCTAATTTCATACTATCATTCTTGGTAGCAAATTTCATGTTTGTAAAATAAGAGAATAGTAAATATTTTTATACGATATCTTAAAGTGCATTTTTTCAGAAAAGCTGTTTATATCTCTAAATCGAATATTCAGAATTAACTTAATAGGAGATAGATTAAACTAGACTTATATTATAACTAGCTCTACGTTTCGTTTTTATCTTCCCTCTAGTTAGTTTTTGTTGAGAAAATTGATATTATACTAATACGGTACTCTAGGTACCTTTTGTATAGAGTTGCCATACAAAGATACTTGATTGTGAGAATCTGCTATCAACCGGGAATTGGTTATCGACTGGGCCCACCAACACTGGGTAGGTGATGGTGGGCTTAGCATGATTAACTGGAAAACTCTGTATTTGCGCAAGGAGAGAAAGAGAAATACAGAGTGGAGATTAAAGTGCTGGGAGCAAACAGAGGTCACCTTCCAACAGTTTGCTCACCAAAAAGTCTGGCACAAGTTGTATGGATTGTAAGAGATGAGAACAGAGATTTGCTGCCGATGCTTTGTGAAAAGTAGAAGAAAATCCAGAGTAGGAGGAGGTATGTGTGTTCCGAGTCTTCGGCGTCATGCTCGGCTTAGGGAATGGGTGTTCGATATCCCTCGCTTGCCTGATGCGCTTGAGCTTCGGGCATGCCGGATTCATCCTCGGCTTGGGGCAGGCTCTCTGAGACATAGTGTAGCAGCAGCTGTCTTAGGATTTTCTTCGAGAACTCGCAGTTGCAATTGTTGTTCAGTATGGAGTGCCTTGGCTTTGAGACGTCGATCTTCTCTCGCGGTTTGGGCGTTGTTGTATACGGATATCCAGGCCGTATACTCCGTGTGCTTTCTGCGAGTATCCTCATTGTGCCATTGTTCGTCGTCGTCGCTGATGCCTAGCCCGTGCATCCTTTTTGCGATGCCGTCACCCTCGGGGTCGAGCTGCTGTATAGGCATTTGCGTTGGATGGCGTGACACTGTTCGGCGGTTCGACCCAGTTGCCGTTGGAGTCGTATCTCACGTTGGTGTAAAGGTCCACCAATGTCGTCGTTGGGACCAATGATCTTTCTGCCTCCATAAAGACCATGACCCAGTTGTTTTCCCCGTTCCTTGCTCAGCGTTTTTGTTGCAGCTTTCAGTTATTCCTCCATCAGCTCCTCGAATTCTTCCCGGACTTCAGGGCGACATAAACCAACAGAAAGCGTACTTTATCCATTTGATATAAAGGACTCGTCAATGTCGTTGTTTTGGTGGATGACTCGAATTGCTGTCGATGGTGTCCAGGGGATCGCGGGTCGTATAAAGAGCGTGCTTTCCAAGAGATGGGAAGGCATGGAATTGGACGAATGGAACGTCATCATATCGTCAGCTCTTTTCATATAGCTAAAGCCATCAATTGCTTCATCGAGGCTGTCCTCCACCTGGACAGAGACCGACCGTATATCATATAAATGTCCCCCCCCCCCACCCATTTTATAAGACAATTTTCAAAGCAACGCTCGTAGCAACCCACCCTCGGAAAGGCCCAAGTGCGGCGATTTCAGATCCGAGAAGGGTCATGGAGGAGATCAAAGGCCATGATCGAAGGCTCGGACCAGTGCCGCTCAAGGGTCCGTAGGGCTGGGTGCCGACGAGCGAAGCTTTCGACAACCTTGTCTCCGACAAGGACTTGGTGTCCGATCTCGACTTTCTCGAGATTCGGAAAGCGGACCTATGAGAAAGAATTAGTACAAAGCTTTCATCAAAATAGCTGTCGCAGAAACATACCGAAATCTGTCTGAACAACTTTGCCCAATCTTCGGGCAATCCGTGGAGAGGCCATCTCCATTCCGGCTCCTTGCCGCCATCGCTGCTGATGGAGAGGACGGTGACCGATTCGCCCTGGATGCGCGGGATGTGAGCGCCATCCATAAGGGTCCGAATGTCAGAGTCGCGACTACTCCCCCGCAAGCACAATTTCAGTACCCGCAGCTTTGGGAAACGAACATCCCGCAGCGCGGCGTCAGCAGCACGGGCGTCCCCGGCGTCGACGGTGACCAGCGAGGCCCGCTCAACGTGGTCAGCGTACTGTTGGCGGAATTGGGCCGGGACCTTTGCGAAGATCACGTCAAGTGAGCGAGGCACGGCCGGCGTGTCCATCGCACCCATAGTGTTCGCCCAGGTTCGTTGACGTTGGATTACCTCCGTGTACCAAGTCCGGTTCAACGAGGCAAACTGCCAGAGGTAACCCGCCTGGTCTTCCACATAGGGCTCCCGCTTGGTACCCAGACCCATTCTCCAAGGGCGGTACTTCGTTGGCCTCACCCACTGCTTCTTCCCCCGATGCCCCGCGACTTCTCGTAGATGAAGTCGCCAAGTCCCTGGACCTGCCAGTGGACAATCTCAGAGACCAGCTCTGGAATGTTGAAAACTCGCTCGGCGGCGTTCCTCTTGGTGATGCCACGCGACCAGCGCGGGCGAAGAGTTCGTCGGGTGCGAATTGGAGCCATCGTTGATGTTGATGATCGAGAGGAAAAAGAAGGGCTGGAGAGGAGCTAGATGGGATCTTATATCTTTCTTCGACTAAATGCCTACATTATGAATAGCTATTGTGATTGTAGGTGAGGTATAGAAGTAGAACAATAGAGAGCGAACTGATAAGCAATGAACTCATATGTGAGGTGAAAGTGATATTGTACAATGCTATTGCCAAGAGGATCAATGGCTTCAATTAGATTCGAACATGATCAACCAGTTAGTAATGGAGTAATTGAATAAGAAAATGGAAGTGCAGTCAAAGTAATCGAGTATTGAGAGAACAACAATGAACAACAATGAATAAAAGATGAGACTATACACCATGCGACATATGTTATTGAGGAACAATAGGTAATACATACACGTACTAGTCACTAATTCTTCAATTCTCAAGTCATAAAACCCGTTCGTCCTCTCCAGGGAATCCCGAGTAGGAAGAAACTTGACTCACTGCTGATAAGTCTATATGGGAACCATTAGATAAAGATAAATGTGAAGTCATTTACTAGATACCTTATGCTTCAACCCTTCCTAAATGTCTAAGGGGAATGTTTGAATCGTCTCCTATCAAAAGTTCGTTCATGGGATTGCAGCCTGATTGAACGGGTGGCCAGCTTATTCAGTCTCTTCGCCATCCAAGTCTCATTATTTCCCCAACTCTTGATCTTCAGCGGTTGTTTCACTGGAGTCACTTGGAACAAACCAATGGAGGTTTCAGGCGTTGTGATTTGATCGCTCCGGGTAGTCTGAATATTTTCGCTGAGGTACGTGACGACTTCTCCCGTGGATCTAGGAGCCATTGCATATTGGAGAGTTATCTCCCTAAGGCCAGGGGAATTTGTTCACTAGAGTAGACGAAATTAAGTCCGTTTCGGGCTCAGAGAACTCCTGCGGTAGAAAGGAGGTAATATTGCCCACAATCCCAGCGATTCCCAGCGCTTGTTGTGTAGCAGTTGTGGCCCCGTGGGGAGGGCTGGGGGTTTGCGACATTCTGTATGGTAATTGGAGATGGGGAAGATCAAATTGTGTTGGTAACCAGAAGTAGGGAAAGTTGCAAATCAAAGAAGAAGAACAAAGAAGGATGTCTGAATTCAACATTCTGAAGTTTGCGTGCAGAAGACCGCGTTGATCACTGCAGCCCCCTCATCCATGGATTCATGGATAGGTACAGCCCTATCCTTCTACTTTATTTGGATTTCAAAGGTACTACCTAGGTAATTACATGATATTCCTCGGTTGGATTACGTCGTCTTGACCACTACCTAGGTAACAAGCACAAAAGCATAACCTCATTACTCAGGCTGACATTCTTTCATTCGTCTTCAATCAAGCTCATCATTCTCTGGGCAAAGATCCTTCATATCCGGAAGATCCGTGAAACTCAAGGCTCAAAGTAAACATGGTCGCTTTCGTGAATCGGAACACCATCAGCAAATGCGAAGCCATGGCGAAAGAAGTGGGTAATCTCGTGAACCTCGAGCTTCCCGAGACAGTCACGAAGGTTGGGGTGTCGTTTCTTCAAGCGTCGGATTGCATGGGGAAACACGCGAGGAGGAAATTCAAAACTCAGCTCTTTCAAACTAGGGTAGTTGGTCTGTTCAAGAACAGTTAGCCTGGCTGCATGACAAGACAAGGGTAGAACGAGCACATACCGGGAGGTCCCAGAAAATCGACTCCCATGCGTCGGGGCCCATGTCGTCGTCCTTCTCCTCATTTTCAATATCCATATCTTGGAAGGTCATGCAACGAAGATTGGGACAGTTCAGTATGGGGAGAGAGAATTCTCCCCTCTTTCCAGAAGTGAACAGGAGGAGACACTCCATTCTGTGGAACACAACGTTTTGTAGGTCGCATGAGAGGGTCTTAAAGCTTGCGGTATCCCACAAGGCATGTGACTCTCCAAAAACCATAAAGTTGGCATAGAACTGTCGACGGTCGGGTTCCAATTTCTCAAAAAGGGTCCCGATTGAGAGGTCAAAACAGTGCCATATCATAGGAAGCGCTTCGGCAAGCCAGAGCTTGTTCACCAGAGCACAATGACGCAAGGATTCTCGTTCTCGTGGTGCGAACCAGTCTCTCGGTACAAACGATAGGATTAGGCCCACAATCTCAGCGATTCCGAGTGCTCGTTGTGAGGCAGTCAGGGTTCCATGAGGAGGCATTCTGGTGGCGAGGGACAGCCAGTATGATGGTAGATGGAGAAGTTCAAATATGCTGACAGAGGGAATGGAATAAATAGAAGGAAGTTGCAAAGAAAGGGAAGAGGGAAAATGAATCCAAGTGTGGGACTGTGTTTGTTACTGTTCTTTGAAGACTGATACTGAGAGGAGAATGTAGAGGAAGAAATCTTGATATTCAACCTATGGGGAAAGCAGGTACAAACAAGCGCTCAGTCTACAAACAACGAAAGATTGGATCAGCTTTACAGCTGTACGTACCCCTTCCGCAGGTGAAACCTTGTACAGTTCCATATTTTTTGAAGTTCAAAGGTGCAAAGGAAGAAGAGAAGTGGATGTGAAGCAAGATAGGCGAAAGGTATAAATATGAATTAGCCGTGCCATGTACCTAGACAATTTACCTTTGTCATCTGGGAACACAACACTGGCTATGTACACATATCTATCACACAACAACTAGTTCTTTCGTCTACAACATCCCATGGATATAGTATATTAGGCTTGAAAGTCGGGGATATAATTTAGCCTTAACATCCATGGATATTTTCCGATGCGGGGAAATGTTTTGAAGCGTCATTCCTGAACCTTCCAATTTCACCTGCCTTTTTTTATTATTTGATTTGATACGTTTTCATAACTGATTGGCTCGAAATCAACTTGCCCAGGTGGAAGAGGATGGCGGTTAAGCGGACCGTCTTAAGACACTTCCGCTTTTCCGACTTGGTGGGGTTGAACTCCCCAGGGCCCCCCCACTTAGCCGCCAAAGGAGACCATCAGATTGGACTTGAGATATTGCGAATTCCTAGATCTTATGGCCTATGACCTAAATGGACGATGGTTCATATTGGGATACATCTCGCATACTTAAAGGCAGTAAGTGTCCCATTATTTCTCGTTTATTCGAGTTCAGTCTCAAGCTTTACGGTTCTATTTGGAGAGAAACTGCTACTATGACTACAGTCACAACCACTACTCCGCCTCTCAATCAATCTTCTTTTGAGTGAGCTACCTACGTTACCCTGTATAGTTATTAGACAACAATTACTAATTGAGAACGCTAGCCTAAGTGGTCCATATGGGGATTGGAGAGACGACCTTCATAATCAGGGCTATGCCGTGATCAAGAATGCCATCGACCCAGAAAGGGCCCAAGTCTACCAGCGCAAAGCCCTGGATTGGCTCAAGTCTTTCAGCCCAGCCCTCGATCTTGATGATCCTTCCACGTGGATCAAAGACAACTTGCCTGTCCAAAGCAAGGTGAATACATTTAATGGGTATTCCGTCACCCATGAGAAATTCATGTGGGATGCTCGCATGGAACCAAAGGTATTGGAGGCATTTGCCAAGCTCTGGGGTACCGATGAGCTACTCGTCTCGTTTGACGCATTGAATATCACTCTGCCGAACCAAAAAGATAAGCCTGCTCAAAAGCCATGGCCCCACGTGGACCAGTCGCCGTTCCGTCGCGGGCTCCACTGTATTCAGGGCATCATCAACCTAAGCCATGCGGGTCCCGAAGATGGATCCCTGATGGTGTTCCCGAGATCGAATACCGTAACCGAGGGGTTCTTCGACACCGAGACCGATCCATCCACCTGGGAGCAAAAGGACATACGCCTATTCAGCGTGGAAGAAATCAAGTGGTTTGAAGATCATGGTATGAAACCATCCAAGGTACTTGCCGAGCCCGGGGATTTAATCTTATGGGATTCACGAACTGTACATTGGGGTGGGGAACCAACAGTCAACAGCAACACGATCCGAACGGTGATTTATGCATCATATGCCCCTTTTGCGTTAGCCACGGAAGAGAGTTTGAGGCGGAAGAAAGAAGCTTTTGAAACTTATCGAGCCACGACTCATTGGCCACACGAGAATATAGTTATACGCGATGGAGTGGTACATCTCCCGGATGGGAGTGTTGACCCCCGCAATCGATCTATGCCGTTGGAAGTACCAGAACATACAGATCGGTTACTTCAACTAGCAGGAGTAAAGTCATATCGGTAAATTAATAGAATTTCTTTGGTTTTCTTTTTCTTTTTTTGTTTTCCCCCTTTCTGTTTTCTCTGTTTTTTGGAGTTGTCCACATGAAACTAAAAGCACCACTTGATTCTTGATTATTAAGGCTAAGCTGGTTTTTTTTTTTTTTTTCCTTTGGCGTTTTTCACTGACGACCCCGCAGTGAGAGAGTCTTCGACGTCGATCTTCCGTTATTGCTCACAAAGCAAATATGAAATCATTTGAATCTCGCCCTCCCGTTGATTATCCACGGAAGCGTGCATCAATCGCATGTAATTTCTGTCGACATCGGTGCGCTTTCAATTCCTATTTTTGAATCAGGTCACTAAAAGTAGACAGGAAACGAAAGTGCGATGGTCAAAAGCCAACATGTGGCCTCTGCACCGACGCGGGGGCTCAGTGTGTCTATCAAGAAAGCGACAGGTAGAAAACGTCAAACTCGTGTAAAAAGGGTTCCTAGATAGTGACGATCCATAGGGTGCAGGATATCCCAGCTGAAATCCTGCTTCGCTTGACCCATCTGGAAACCCTGATCGAGCAACAAAAGGACGCCATCACCGAGCTCTCAGCACGAGTAGCCTCTTCATCGGAACATCCGGCTCGATCGGCTCCCTCTATCTATTCGTCACAGCCAAAATACGACTGGGATCCATCATCCGAACATGTCTACGATAAATCCTCCTTCGGCCTCTTTTCACCGGAGAACAACACATACGGCAATGAATATGCATTTACTATTCCTTTTGGGTATTATACGCCAACAGGAAGTCTATTTGCGTTAGATCGAGTCAAAAATTTGGTTGGCGATTACCCTCAAGACTTTTTCAAGCAGATAGAGAAAAAGAGACCATTCAACAGCACCCAGGTCGCAGGCATACCTCAGGCATTTGAACAAATCGACAGATCCCGACTGCATCCCCAGGTCACCAAACCTCTGATCACTGAGTTCCTCCGCCATGTTCATCCATTCTTCCCAATTGTCGAGCCGCAGTTGTTACATATGCTCTTTGACACTTTCTCTACATACACCAAGGTCAACAGCATCCAGACTTCACTGTATCTTATCATTCTGGCTTTAGGAAAGGTCTCCTCGAATCCTCAACGAATTTTTGATATCGAGGCCGACCAAGATCTGAGTGGAATGGAATATTTCGCTTCCGCATATCACTACTTGAACAACCCGTTGATAACGTCCTTCACAGCGGACCACTTGTTGCCTTTGGCTTTATTCTACGGCTCGATGTATCTGCGTCACATAGGACGCCCAATCCAAGCATGGCAAATGATTCGTGAGGCGTCTGGTAGTGTTCAGATCATGATTTCCGAGTGAGTGTCTTCTCTGATACATGTCTCTGTGATATTGATATTAATTGGATACAGACTACATGACATGAACACGCACGAAGAGCGCGCTAGTCTCTATCGAATTGCATGGGGTTGCTTCATTCTCGAATGGTTGGTATACCCCCTGGGATTATCCTGCATTCAACTAACCACCTCGACCCAGTGACGATCTCGCAGAGTTTCATTTCCCTCCCAGTGGCATTGAACTCCTCGTCGAGAGATTGCCCTTTCCTCGAATTTCGGAAGATAGCCGAAATGGCCACCTTGTTTTCCTCGCAATGTGCTCCATCCGAAAGCTTCTCAACCGTGTGCACAGTGCTCTCTATGTAAAATCTGACCAGGAGAATTTCCATGCCAGCCCTCCGCCTCAACACACAAGTGATACTACCCCCAGTGCAACTCCACAAAAGCATTCGATTACATCTCTTAAGACAATTAGCGAGGAGCTCGATCGTCAATTGGAGGACTGGTTCGGCTCTCTCCCAAATCCCATCCGGCCAACCCTCGGCAATACAATCTCTGCAAATCACCCTTACGACACTTACATTCTCTCCCGATACTATGTCACAAAACACATCATCTGCCGCCCGAGTCTGATTTTTGCTGCCCATACCCAGGGCAGTACGGTGTTGCCAGAGTTTGTCTTCGCGAATTGCAAGAAGTGCGTCGATAGCTGTCGCAAATTCATATGGGCCGCATCGATTCTTATGCGGCAGAGAACACACGGAAGCTGGCACAGAATGCAAGCGTAAGATCGTCTTTCTACTTTCAGGTGGCTTTTGACAGGTTGAAGTTCACTTACTTATTTTACACATCTAGAATGCTGGCTGCTATTTTTACTCTCTCGACTGCGAAAACCACGCCGGCTTTAGAGGCCCTCGTTCCGGACTTCGACGAGCTAGTGAAAGACGCAATTCAATGCATTGAGCTTTGGGCGGGACATTGCGAAGCAGCAGATACAGTTATCAGCATGTTGAAGACAATCCGCCAGAAAGTGCGAGTATTAGTTCGGGGAGCTTAGTAGAGAGCCCTCTCGATTTATACTTGGGTAGATGTACGTATTTTTTTTACTTCGCATTTCCATGTATATTTGTGAATTTGAATGCGCTGGCGATCGTCGAGGCTACTATTTTTCGTTTTAGCCTACTGAATATATTGTTATTTAAAGGTCATCCACGGTGCGTTTGTTATCAGTAAAAAACCCCCACGCGCTGCGGGGGACTTCGGGAAAGGGTTCAACCCAAACAATACTTCACTTGCTCAAGAATATGTCTCCACCACGACTGACGAGCCAGATTAATTCCATCCATGGTGTTCGACTCGCAGGGGAGCCGTCCACCTGGGATATCCAGATTAGATACCCCACAGACTCCCCACAAGGCACAGTCACCTCTGTGACCCCGCACGAACCCTCTACTAAGGATGATTTCGAGTCTCCTCTAGCCCTACCAGCCTTGACACACCCTCACATCCACCTGGATAAGGCCTTTATCCACAGTGCAACTGAATATGCCCCATTTCTACCTACAACTGGCACCTTTCAGGAGGCTTTGACCTCCACGACCCAGGCTAAACAACAATTCAGCCATTCTGATCTCATTAGAAGAGGAGAGTGGCTTCTTGCTGAGTCTGTTGCATCGGGTGTCACTGCAATGAGGGCATTTGTGGAGGTGGACCATACAGTGCAGCTTACTTGCTTAGAAGCTGGTGTTGCATTGAAGAATCAATGGAAGGATTCCTGCAATATCCAAATCGTCTGTTTTGCGCAAGATCCTATATTCTCCACTGAACATGGAGAACAAAACAAAGCCTTTCTGGAAACTGCTCTTCATAAATATTCACAAATCGATGTTATCGGGACAACACCATACGTCGAATCCAGTCCCGACGCTGCAAAGCAAAACATCGAATGGACGATTGGTCGTGCCTTGCAGCTGAACAAACACGTCGACTTCCATCTCGATTACAACCTCGATTCAAACAAAGAGGCCCTAGTTTGGCATGTCTTACAAACCCTCAAACAGCAAAGCTGGACCACCCACTCAACAGACAAGCGTGTCATGCTCGGTCATTGCACACGGCTGACACTGCTCACAGAGAACGAATGGGCCCGACTGGCAACTGAAATCCACAAGAATGAACTCCCAGTCAGCTTCGTAGGTCTACCAACAAGTGATATGTACATGGCATCACCTCCCAGAACGAGCGGGGACTACAACCCATCACAATATCGCCCGAGAGGCACTCTACAAGTCCTAGAGATGATCCGGAAATACAACCTGGATGCCGTGGTCGGGGTGAACAATGTCGGGAATTCATTTACCCCATGGGGGTTGCCAGATCCGTTATCGTTGGCTTGTCTCGGCGTGGGAATTTACCAGGCGGGCAGTCAGGCGGATGCTGAGTTACTTTATGAATGTGTGTCGACACGAGCTAGGGCGGCTATTGGGCTCTCGCCATCTCATTCGGGTCTATGTGTAAAGCAGGGGTGTCGACCGGACCTGTTGGTGGTTCATCATAGAGATGACACTGGGTGTGGAGTATCTCGGCTGCGAACAAATGTTGCAGAGGTTGTGTGGACTCCGCCGGGGAAATTGAATAGGGATGTGGTTTCTGGTGGACGACTTAAGATTTCTCCTTTTGTTGTGGAATCAGATGGTCCGTATCAAATTTGATTTTTGTTCCAGACGACAGTGGCCATCGAAGAAAGTGGTTATGTATGTACATCACGGTCAATGGATGGGATCAAAAGCATCCATGCGAATTGACGATTAAAGATATGAATCAACGCATTGTAGTGAGCAAGCATCCATCAAAGTCCCCACCCAATTAATAATAGAAATCCGCAGACACCCCGTGGACTAATCTAGCATTTTGGATCGTCAAAGATCAGGCAAAAGAGAGACACAAGGCAGGACTAATTGGTTGTCTTCGGCCGCAGAGCATAGAATTGCACAGGCAATAGATTTAAAGACGGCGGGAAGCCCTTCTGACGTTCGGACTTGACGATCTCCATGCCAGCAGCCTCGAAGACCTGTCTGAATTTCGCATCTGTCCTTGTGACACTGCTATCTTCACTGTCGTACACATCCTGTCTAGAGACATGGGTAGACAGGTTCTCCTTGACAACCATAAGACCAGTTTCAGTCAAGGCTTTCCGACACCGCACGGTATAGTCAATGAGCTGTGAATCGGTGAGATGGCCCGCACACCACTGGACCCAGATCAAATCGTATTTCTTCTCCGGGGACCAATCTTCAATGCCACGAGTGTAGATGGTTCCAATGATGCCGTCTCGTTTCAATTGGCTGTCTCTCATCACTTGTGTGAACTTGGCTATTGGCTCTACCGCATCTACCACGTCACAGACCTGGCTCAGGAAGCCCTCTGTCACCCGGCCGACTCCAGCGCCGCAGTCCACACCTTGGTGGAAGTTGCCCTCGGATTGAACACCCGGTATTAAACGGCGGATCTTGGCTAGGAAAGTTTTAGAGCCTTTTAGGTCAATGCGTGACACTGAAGGGAAATCGCCCAGCATGCTGCCCGTGGTGGCTGGGACACTGTCCCAATATTCCAAGGACTTGGCATGATTGATTTTGGAATCGGCTGTAGTGTTTGGATCTGTCATGTTGGAAGTTTTGATAATGTTGGCCTGTAGAATGGTTTATCAAAATGATTGAAATATCCGTAATAGGCAGGAATAGGAATGTTTGGGTGGATGAGTTGCACAACATAATCACCTGCGGACCAAATCAATATCTATCTCTCCATCACGTGATGATATAATTGCAACCCCGTCCAACGTTCTTCAAGGTACAACATGCTCTTCCAAGGTTCAATGTGCTTATATGCATACTTTCTTGTGATTGGTTAAATTATTTTCTTCTTTGTCTCAGGGCTCAAGTGCATTCTTGGCAAATTGACTTTAAATTGACCCTAATTTGGTCTCGTAAAGACGTGATACGCTAAACAGGGGGGAAAAAGAAAAAGCAAAAAGAAAGGCAAAAAGAAAAAAAAATCCCAAACCCAGACAGTGGGCTGTGCTATGATCGACAGGGATAAAAGGATAAATCAGAAAATAAAAACCAATCTCGATCTTCAATACTCCTGTACCCTGAAACTTGAGCTCAGGGACTGGGGCTTACGTGTACATTCAACACTTGGGGGGGGACACACCCGTTGAAACGGCCTTGTGATTGGAAAGTGTGCCCGTAGTGTCTCCATAAGCGTGTAAACTGCCGATCCCTTCATAAATCGTTTCTTTCCCCTTATCATCTCTCTTTCAACCACTTTTTTTTAAACTCACCACAGTCATTCCTTTATACTGTTCTTTTTGATTTTTTCACCATGGCAAATGGTCGCTCGTCACAGGATGAGCGTAAGCTCGAGGGTGGCTCTGAAGCCCCTAAGGACAATGGCCTCCACCCCGGTTTTTACATTGCGTACGTAACAACTGAAGACCTCGTTGTCCAGAATTAAAACTAACCCTCGAATTTTTAGCCTGTGGATTGCTCTGAGTTCCAGTGTCATCCTCTTCAACAAATGGGTTCTCGCGAGCGCCAAGTTCGGTATGAATCCCTTCTCTTTAATCCCTTGTTATTCGCTTTTGGACTTCGCCGCTAACTTTGATTGTTTCTAGACTTCCGTGAGTCCCTCCGCCAAATCGATATTTAACCGCGTCCCAAGAAATCAATTACTAACATGAGATACCAGCGCTCTTCTTGACCACCTGGCACATGGTCTTCGCCACGGCGATGACCCAGATTCTCGCCCGGTTCACTACCGTGCTTGACTCGCGCCACAAGGTCCCTATGAACCCGGCCACCTATACGTGAGCAACCCCGATAATGCAATATGGGATATGGAATAGCTAGCATGGCTGCAATCCGACCCGAATTCTCGATCGCTAACCGGTGGATTTGTGTACAGACGCGCCATTGTGCCCATTGGTGTCATGTTCAGTTTGAGTTTGATCTGTGGTAACTTGGCATACCTCTACCTGAGTGTTTCCTTCATTCAGATGCTTAAGGTGCGTTTGAACCGGGAGTTTGGCTTTAATACGATCTCCGTCCACTCTCAAATTCTAGGCTCGACTCAGGGCTAATCCCAAGTTTTTTTTTTTTTTTTTTTTTAGGCCACCAACGCTGTTGCGACCCTTTTGGCCACCTGGGCCTTCGGAATCGCTCCTACCAACTTGAAGACTCTCGGCAATGTGGCTCTCATTGTTGTCGGTGTTGTGATTGCCTCGTTCGGCGAGATCAAGTTCGAGATGTTCGGCTTCCTCAGTATGTGATATGTGAATCTGGTATATTTGACCTTCTAGTCCTAACAACTATGCAGTCCAGATTGCCGGTATCGTCTTCGAGGCCCTCCGTCTTGTCATGGTGCAGCGTTTGCTCAGCTCCGCCGAGTTCAAGATGGATCCCTTGGTCTCTCTGTACTACTACGCCCCGGCCTGCGCTATCACCAACGGTGTCGTCACCCTCTTCGCTGAGGCTCCCCGTCTTACCATGGGTGATATCTACGGTCTCGGTGTCGGAACTCTTATTGCCAACGCACTGGTTGCTTTCCTTCTTAACGCTTCCGTTGTTTTGCTGGTAAGTGTTTTTTTATCTCATAATAACCAACCAGTCCATTACTAACACCCCAATAGATTGGCAAGACTTCTGCTGTTGTCCTGACCATGGCCGGTGTCCTTAAGGATATCCTCCTTGTCGGTGCCTCCATGTTCATTTTCCGCGACCCCGTCACTGCCCAGCAGTTCTTCGGTTACTCTATTGCCCTGGCTGGTCTGGTGTACTACAAGCTCGGTGCTGAGAAGTGCCAGAGCCTTGCTACCGATGTGCGCCTCCAGGTTGGTGAGTACAACCGCAGCAACCCTGCCCGCACCAAGGCCATCCTCATCGGTGTGCCTTGCGCTCTCATTCTGTTCGTTCTCTACAGCGGTAGCTCCGCTCCCGCTGCTGCTCAGGTGACCCACTAAGCACGAACGCGCGTACATTGGCGAACTGAAGCAATCGACGGAAATTTGGAACGCGCGGGGTACATTCCGCGTGGGCCTATTGTTTCACGAATCCAAGCTTGGGTAAACAAAACCCGATGCTTATGTTAAATTTTGATAAAGACCATGTCTTGTCTTGTCTGGACAGGACAGAACATGCATGTAAAGTTAGGGACATAGACGATATCTGGCTGTTTTCATTGGGGATAGGATTTATAATAAACGGCTGTATGAAATTGATATATTGTATCGACTCCACATTCATTCCTAGTATTTCCATTCTTAGCCCTCTTATGGATAACGCTTGAACAAAATATCCGCCAGACCGTAACAAACAGCCCCAACAGCAAAAGTAGCAGCAAATACCGAAAACCCAACGACGTACCCAGGCGAGTCTTCCGCCGGAAACAGGGCGGTCCCATATAACTGCGCCAAAGCAGCAACGCTAGTCATCCACGCGAGCATGATCGCACGAACATCACGAGCAACCGAGGCCAGAGCCGTAGTAGCAAATGAAAGAGCCAACGCATTCCCCGTCCAGAGAGTCATATTAATGAAGCACAGAAACACATATCGCGCAGTATAGTTCCGAATACCCGCCGTAAGAGCGAAAAACACCATCCCGACCATCATATTGCCCACCAGTAGCCGTCCCCTAGTATGGGGATTGCGATCAGCGAACCAGCAAATCGGGATAGCGGCAGCCAGAGAGGTAATATAGAGTGGAGCTGTCATGTACTGCGCCGTAGTGGAAGTGTATCCCATGTCCTTGACCAAAGCTGGATAGAAGTATGAGATTGCCCCGGCTCCTACAAGGGTCATGGACCCCGGGACCAATACCCATGTTCGCCAGTTTGAGAGTGCTTCGAGCAAGAGTATAAGTATGGGGATGTTTGGGGGTTTGGAGTCAAGGCGATCGGCGATTCTATCCTGGAGGAGTCGCTGTTGAGCTAGCCTTCGTTCTTCGGGGGATAGTCCCCGACTGTTGTGCGGGTAGTCGAGCAGTGTCCAGTGGACTACCAAGCTTACACCGGCAGTTGCGACTCCTTCGACTATGAAGAGCCATCTCCAGCTGCGGATACCGTGTGCGCCATCTAATGTCGTTGTGATGGCTCCTGATATTACACCACCAAAGGCTCCCGACAGTATTCCTGCGGTCAGGAAGATGAGGAACCGTTTTGACCTGCTTTGAGTTAGGTTAAGTTATCTTTTTCAAGGCTGTGTTATATTATTGTATAAGCAAACATACTGCTCGTTCTTTCGATACCATGTAGAAATCAAAAAGATCACAGCTGGCTTTACCAATAGTTAGAGGTTAATTCCGGGAGTATTGTTCAAGTCACTCACACTAAATCCTGCTTCAAAGACCCCAAGAAGGAATCTTAGGGCTATTAGTTGGCTTTGGTTACGGACAGCTCCTATCAAGGCTGCGACAGATCCCCATGCAAATGTGATTATTGGAATGAAAACAGATGGACGAGTACGAGAGAGAATCATGCTGGATCTAGCCTTAGCATTTTGCATGTGCGACTCGAAGCTTTCATCTTACTTGGATGGCACCGCAGAAATAGTATAGCCAATGATCCATACTATCACGGCTGTATAGTATTGATGCGATGTGAGGTGGAGATCCTCTTCCATTCCGGCGATCTTTGCAAGGCCAATGTTGGATCTATCCTACATAGTACTTTCAGCGGAATATAGTTGGCAATTGCTAGGTTAAGGTGTCATACTATGTAGGAGAAAAGATAAAGAAAAAAGATTGAAGGCATCAAGTAGAGATCGATCTTTCGAACGAGCTTCTTCTCGGCGTCTAGATCAATCATTCTCCTGGAGGTATCCTGATATTTGCTGTGTTGGGCAGATATAGACATCTCAACAATGGAAGATTTTAATAATTGTTAGGTGAAAGGGTGATATTGTTAAGGGGTATGCCTTTTTCAACCACCATCCCTCGTATCTACAGTGGTCTTATATCGTCAAAGGGAGTGTTAGTCTACATGGAGAAATCTTGTTCAACTAGGCCCATCCTCGGGATTAGGTAGGGTTGAAAATACTGAATGGTTGTCGATACGATCTTGTTCGATGTCACAAACATTCCACAACATTGTTTGTGTCGTAGCAAAGTCCAAATCAAAACATTCTGTCAAGACTATGGTAGGGCTATCTACAAGTATGCCGAGAACCAATGGGGGATATAGAACTATGTAGGCAACTAACTCTATAAAAAGATAAGGGTAGAGAAATTCTGTATTACAGTCCTATTTGAACCTGGCAGTTATTTTATACCAAACATTTCTAATTGTAGAAGTCCGACGAGTTATGGCGGAGTTGGCCGTTTTGGGATGTCGCCGTTTAGGGAAATGTGTCATTGTTGCGCCTTCCGGCCCAGACGTGCCCCCAATGTCTTAAATTTCGTTTGGCTATCCAACCTTGGACATTTGTCAGTGGCTTCACATAAAATTAGAAGCTTGTCAACTGTTGAAAATAACAGAACAAATATTTGGCCATGACGACCAATAGAGGGATTGTGGTCATATCAGGAGGAAGCGCGGCCAACAATCTTGTCGATGTATTCAACGCCGTCCGTGAAAGCAAGAATTGTCCACTTAGCTACATCATTCCAATCAGTGATAATGGAGGATCCTCTTCCGAGTTAATTCGAATATTCGGTGGCCCTGGGATCGGTGATGTTCGGAGTAAGCCCAACACCTTGGATCTTCCCTAACTCGCCTGCTAACTTGTCCGACAGGTCGATTGGTACGCCTGATTCCGGATTCGCCAGCAAATTCTGAGAGGTCAGCAGTTAAGGCATTGTTTAACCATCGGCTACCCGCGGAAGCAGGCACTGCAACCAATGAATGGCAGTCCATCGTTGACGGCACTTCGGGACTATGGACAGCCATCCCCCCTGCAAAGAAAGAGTTGATACGCTCCTTCTTCAATGTATTAAACTTGGAAATCCTGAAACGAGCCCGACCGCCATTATCGACCTTTGAATTTACCTCCGCAAGTGTGGGAAATCTTTTTTTGACTGCCGCCCGGCTGTTCAGTGGAAGTTTCGAAAGTGCCATCTATCTACTCGGGAGTATCTGCGGCGTCCCGTCAGATCTGGTGCGCGTAATCCCAGCCATCAACTCCAATTTCTCCCACCATATCTCTGCATCGCTTGCGGACGGAACTGTCATTGTCGGTCAGAACAGCATCTCGCACCCAAGCGAGGCGACGGCCCTCGAGCACAACTCCCGCTCTAGGAGGCCGAGTCTGCTTCTTGCCGACGGAGACGATGTTGATTACAGCGATTCTGAAATGTCGGACCCGACGACATATGAAGAGGATCATCTGCCGGGCTCTCTGGCAACTCTCCGCAACAAGAATATCAAATTCAGTAAAACCGAGAATGAAGATTTGACTTCCAGAATTACTCGCATCTGGTACATCAACCCCTACGGTCAGGAGATCCGACCACCCGCGAATCCACGCGTGCTGGAAGCCATAAACGATTCCCAGGCAATTATCTACAGTATCGGATCTCTCTACACATCAATTATCCCTGCCATCATCCTACGAGGCGTAGGCAAAAGCATCGTCTCCAGTCCAGCTCGACACAAGATCCTCATTTTGAACGGATCGTTGGATCGAGAAACGGGGCCTCCATCTGCACCATTTGCCGCATCTGATTTCGTGGAAGCGATTGTGAGCGCTGGAGAAGAAAGTCGTGGACGGGGCCCAATTGTTCATGCTCAACATCGAAGTCAGAGTCAGCACCCCGCGACCACTTCAAGGCAAGACAATGTTCGAAATTACAGAGCCCTTCCTTATACCAACTATGTGACTCATGTCTTGCATCTGGATGGTCCGGGGACACCGCATGTGGACCGTGAGCGGCTCGCGCATATGGGGATTGAAACGCTTCGTCTTTACGGACGAAAAATTATGTCGAAGGATGGTGATAAGGAGACCGTTGTGGGGATGCAATATGATCCTAATGCTCTGGTGCAGGCTATTGAGGTTGTTTTGGGGAAGAAGGGGGATGCAATGGTTCGAGGGGGTCTGGGAAATGCGCTGGGTCGACGGAATACACTCGATCATGCAAGAAGGGAACGGTAGGATATGCGAATCTGTTTTAGAAGTAAAGATTGTATTATAGTCTACATCGAGATACAACTACGTATACACATAATGTAAATCAGTAGAAAATGGAACTCCATTCGTCAATCCCAGGTCGTTAATCACAGACGTAACTCGTTTATGCAAAAAAAAAAATACCACCCATACCATGCCCCGAGTCGCAATGCCGCTATAAACAAAGTTTTGAAGAGCCGAGAGAAAAACTGATGCAAAGGCACTACGTGCCAGATGCGGCAAGATCACCTCGCTTTTTCGTTAGAAACAACAGCGGAATGAGATTCTTAGCCTTCCCAGGCGTCTCCTTTCGCGAGATCGGCGTGCGGCACACCGGGCAGGTACCCTTGTGTTGTTTCGAAGAATCACCGCCGCGTGTTTGTTCGCTCATCTTCAAGCAGTCGATGATACACTTGTGACAAAAGAGATGCCCTGAACATGTGAAGTCAGTAAAAGCCTTAACATACCCAAAGCCTATGTATTGTAGAATCAAGAACATACCACATGATGTGCTTGTTGCGTCCACGGGCGTCTCCATGCAAATGGGACATTTGTAAGCGAGTATAGCGGAGAGTTTTGAATTACTCTCTGCCGACGGCTGCGCTTTAATGGCATCCTCCCTCTGCTTGGCCACTGTTCGAGCGAGTGCGGCCGCGCCTGTGTCGTCGGTCATATCGATCGTTTCGATTGGCTCGCCTTCGGAGAGAATCGAAGAGGAGTGTGCGACGGAATCACCGTGTTCATCGCTCCAATGACGACGGCGCTTGACACCGCGCGCAGTAGGCAATTGTCCATGGCGGGATGAGGATGCGTGGTTTGAGGCGGTAGGCGGGGAGGAGGATAAAGCGATAGGATTTTGCCGCGATGATCTGGTTGTCAGGTCGACAACATCAGCTCGGTTTCTGCTCATTGTGACAGACTGGGGAATATGACTCTTTCTAAGAGGGATGCGCCGGGGTTGAAACGAGAAAATTGTCTGGAATTGGAGGAGAAAGTCGTCTGCGGCTCTGCGTTGCCGTGTGGGGGAGGACGTGAGACGATTTGGAATTGGTGGCTAACGAATAGCCTCAGGATTTTAAAAGATTTTTTAAGAGACGAGGCAGCTATGATGGGTCTGAGCTGAAGAACCGTCAGCAAAATTGGGGACTTCTTCAGCGATCAAAGCAGATGATGGCGACAATGCCGGAGCTTATCAAAGAGGTCATGTGGCGATAAGGGATCAGATAAGCCCGCTTTGCATTGTCTGTCTATAATTGGAAAGCGGTCAGTGAGTCAATGGCGGGGTGTTCATTGGAGGATCGTAATATCACGTGGTGAAGGCATGTCCACAACGACAGAATAAGTGCGGTTTGTCTGCAAATAGAAGGCGGTCAATACCATAGGGAAAACCATATTCCGACCTACATGACGCCCAGACCTCCCGGGGTCAGATATCGAGCGATAGGCGATGATATGGAAATTACCTAGCAATACTTCTTTTCTAGGATTTTCTTCGGGCTACCAGTGCAGCCTTACGGCTGTGGCCATACTTCTAACATGACATAACATTGCCAGGTTCTTATTTTATGATGTTATCTTGGAAGTCTTCCTGCGCTCGTTCCAGGGGTGCCCTTAGGTCTTTCTCGCGACCAAATTCGCCGCTTTTGGTTAAGCTGCCATTATGGTACCAATTACACAGAAGTCATACTAGACTTTCCTCTACTTCCGCCGACAATGTTACCACAGCACGATCTCTTTCTGGTGAGTGCCCTGCCTTGCGCGCTTTTCGATAAGAAAACCACCAAATTGCAATTACTGATCTGGCGCAGTCCCTTCCTCGTCTAGATTCAATGACATCGGAGTCCAACAGCTCAGCAACCATGTCCATGCTCAAGTCTTCCCTAATAAAGGTCGCATTCCGGACCCAGAACTAGTCGCACTTTCAAAGGATCATTTGGCTAGACATGAGCTGCTAGGCAAATCTCAAAATAGCGCCGGTCCTGTCGCATTCGATCTTCCTGCTCTCAAGGGGCAAACATTGGACGAGCATTTCTACAAACTCGGAATGGATTCTTCCGAACCTTACCTGTCCTTCGCTAAATCATATGCGGCTCTCAACTGTCCAGCCAAACCGCGCAAATGGGTCAAACGCAGTGGATGGACGAAATACCATACTGATGGCACCTCTGAACCTGTCCATGCCCCCAATGAATCGATGTTAACCTTCGACACGGAGGTCATGTACAAAAATAATTCATTTGCAGTCATGGCTTGCGCGGTAAGCCCGACCGCATGGTATGCGTGGTTATCACCGTGGCTACTCGGCGAATCAAAGAATGAAACACAGCTCGTACCCTTAGGGGACCCTACACAACCCCGAATTGTAGTTGGGCACAATATTGGCTACGATCGAGCCCGGGTCCTCGAGGAATACAATATGCAGCAGTCCCAAAACTTCTTTCTTGACACAATGTCCCTCCACGTGGCGGTCAACGGCATGTGTTCACAGCAGAGACCTACTTGGATGCGCCATAAAAAGAATCAAGACATGAGAGACAAAATCGCCAATGAACACGATTCCGTGGAGCTTGCTGCACTGCTCGAGAACAACATGTTGAGGGAAGAAGAGGAAGAACTTTGGGTAGGGCGAAGCTCGGTGAACTCTCTTCGTGATGTGGCCAAATTCCACTGTGATGTCACCATAGATAAGGCGCAGCGAGATTTCTTCGGTGAACTTGATCGTGACTCTATCCTGGGCAGACTGGAGGAACTTCTCGACTATTGTGCCGCCGACGTTGCCATCACCCACCGTGTCTACCGAAAAGTTTTCCCCAACTTTCTCGAGACATGCCCGCATCCTGTCAGTTTCGGCGCTCTTCGACACTTGTCCTCTGTCATTTTGCCAGTCAACCAGTCCTGGGAAGAATATCTCACCAGTGCAGAGGAAACATATCATAAGCGACTTGACGATGTCCAAAGTAAATTGCTAGCACTATGCGACGAGGCATTGAAATATAAAGACCAACCAGAAATTTACACGAATGATCCTTGGCTACAACAGCTGGACTGGTCCGGCCAAGAGATCAAGATGGCGAAGGGAAAGAAGAAGGGTGACCCTCCTCGGCCGGCAGCTAGGCAAAAGAAACCGGGAATGCCCAAGTGGTACAAGGATCTTTTTACCTCCAATGCCTCAGAGATCAACCTGACCGTGCGAACTCGCATTGCACCTGTTTTACTGAAATTATCATGGGACAGCTACCCTCTTGTTTGGTCAGATCTGCATGGATGGACTTTCCGTGTTCCCCGTGATCAAATCAAGCAGTATGAGAACCAGCCAGTCGTCATGTGCGATATGGCCGAAGAAAAGAACACCGAGTTGCGAGACGATAGAAAAGCCACATACTTCAAAATCCCCCACAAAGACGGCCCACAGGCGAGGTGTACCAATCCGCTTGGCAAGGGTTATATGCAGTATTTCGAGCGTGGAATCCTGTCGTCTCAATATGATCTTGCCAAACAAGCGCTGGATATGAACGCGTCATGTTCCTACTGGATCAGCGCCCGAGATCGAATCAAGGGTCAAATTGTGGTATATGAAGATCAGGTGCAAAAGAGCGGACGGAAAAGTGACGCAAGCGACAATCGTGTCGGATTCATCCTGCCTCAAGTAATTCCCATGGGAACAATCACTCGACGTGCCGTGGAAAATACTTGGCTGACTGCGAGTAACGCGAAGGCCAACCGGGTCGGGTCAGAGCTAAAGGCTATGATCAAAGCACCACCAGGCTACTCGTTCGTTGGAGCCGATGTTGACTCCCAGGAATTATGGATTGCGAGTCTAGTCGGAGATGCCCCATTCCAGATCCATGGAGGAAACGCAATTGGATTCATGTGCTTGGAAGGATCCAAAGCCGAGGGCACAGATCTTCACTCACGAAGTGCATCGATTCTGGGAATCTCGCGTAATGATGCCAAGGTCTTCAACTACGGCCGAATCTATGGGGCAGGCGTCAAGTTCGCCGCTACTTTACTTCGCCAGTTCAACCCGTCTCTGTCTGAAAAGCAGACACAAGAGACTGCCAAGAACCTATACAAAGAGACCAAGGGAACCCGGACTTCACGTCGCCTCTTGAGTGAGACGCCGTTCTGGCGGGGCGGTACCGAATCCTTTGTGTTCAATAAACTCGAAGAGTTCGCGGATCAGGAACGACCTAGAACCCCTGCTTTAGGTGCTGGAATCACCGAGGCGCTCATGCGACGTTTCATCAACAAAGGCAGCTTTATGACATCCCGAATCAATTGGGCCATTCAGTCGTCTGGTGTTGATTACCTCCACCTCTTGATCGTCGGCATGGACTATCTCATCCGACAATTCAACATTCAAGCCCGCTTAGCCATCACTGTTCACGACGAAATCCGCTACCTCGTCAAAGATGAGGACAGGTACCGCGCTGCAATGGCTTTGCAGATTGCCAACGTTTGGACTCGTGCCTTATTCTCCCAGCAAGTGGGAATTGATGACCTCCCCCAATCCTGTGCCTACTTCTCAGCTGTCGATATTGACCATGTGCTTCGTAAAGAAGTCGACATGGACTGTGTGACTCCTTCCCACCCCCACAAAATTCCGCATGGTGAAACGCTAGATATTACTCAACTCCTAGACAAGAATCATCAAGCTTTCTTGGACCCTTCCATCACACCACTGTCACCTCCGAACCCCGAAAAATACCCCTACACCCCACGGGAGTCGGTCATGTCCGCCTTCCAGGCTTCCAACGACATCGATTTCATCAAGGCCCAGATCACCAAGGATGACAAAGAGCTGCGTGATATCATCAAGGAGAAGACGCGGGCAGCTACTAGCGCCAGCGCCAGCGCCAGCGCCCCTGGCTCTCGCACCCCTTCTACCAAACCGAAAGGCAAATCTAGCAATTGGACCTCAGCAAAGCCCCAGCGGGCTGTTCTGATGGACCTGGAGTCAGGCCTCTACCCCGACTTCCAAAACCCCCCTAAGCCTAGTTCTTATGGGAACAAGCAGCCTCAAATGGGATTCCAACGTCCTTCCTGGAAACCAAGGGCAACAGCTCGAGCATAATGCCGTTACCCCCCGTTCGTTTTCTCCCTTTCTCTTTGTATTCTTTTCGGCAACCTATTTTTACTGTAATTATTGCTATATTTTCCCCATCTTGTTTTAACTATTGTGGATGTTGTTATATCTGGAGTGATTGGAAACCAGCATTGGGACGGCGTTACTGTATGATGCATGGTGAGTGTTGATGGAATGGAAATCGTGTACCTATATGTACTTGTACGAATCAATCTTAATGAGTTGAAGAGTCCTAGATATACGGAGTACTAGTTATATAGTTAGCCATGTACGGAGTACGTATGAAGTAGGCCTCGGGAGTACGTACTTCGCCGGGGCTGTTCCCGTCTTCCTTAACTAAGATAAGGTAGTTTACTCCACCCGAACCCCTGTGCACCGGAAACACCGAAAACCCCTTTGTCTTCTCTTTTTTTTTTTTTTTTTCTGATTTTTATGTCTTCATTTCCACATTCATGTTCAATTATATCCTTTCCCTTTGAGAGACGGGTTTCATCTAAATTCTCTCTACGGACGCGGCAGAAAAACGCCCCTTCGACGTCATATCCCCCCCCCACACAAGCTCGACATGTTCTCCCCTGAGGTTGTGGTGTCTCGATGAGACGTGGCATGGATATATTCAAATATACTGGGTATATTTTCGCCAGGGATTGACTAAAATATTTCCCTAGCCCAGAATTTATACCATTGAGGCGGAGCGCATTGAAGTTCGGAGCCGATGAAAACCCGTCATTCCACCGACGCAATTGGATGTGCGCATCTCTATGAACCGTGAAGATGAGCGTACACTCGCTTGATTATGCACAGCAGAGTGCCCCACGGCCTGATATTGATATTGAGATCGGTCGCCCGTCAATCAGCTCCCAAGTCTCTCCAACAGGAAGAGAGAGAGAGGAAACTTCGTCTCCTGCCTTCACCACAGCAGCAGCCCGAGTGAATTCCACCGAGACGACAAAACGCCGAGCTAGACGCAACACTGCCCGCTCATACCACCCCGAAGGATTCGCACAAGATCCCAATTGGCAGCCAGGAACCGAACCTGGCATTGACCCAACCAAGCCGCTACCACCGTACACGTCAGAATGGGCATCCAACATACCCGCGGATCTACACCGACGCTGTCAGATTACGGTGGTGGATTTCTCACAACATGACATGCGACAGTACGAGCTGGACAATGATACACTAGAGCAATTTCTGGAACGGGAGAGAGAGCCCTGGGTACAATGCCGGTGGATCAATGTCAATGGGTTGAGCTGGGATGTAATCAAGATTCTTGGAAATCATAAGAGATTACATCGGCTTGCAATTGAGGATGTTGTTCATACCACTAACCGCACGAAAGCGGATTGGTATTCGGACCATGCCTTCGTCGTACTGACATTGCAAAAGTTGATGAAGATACAAGAAGAGGACTCTGATTCGGAAGACGAGGAAGAAACTCCGATCAGTCGATGGAAATCAAGGGACCGGAAAAGCTCTGTGGTCAGTGACAAGAGCTCGATTTCGTTGAAGCGACCCACGAAGTGGAATGTTATCATGGCGGCATTGAAGGACATCTTCCGATTCAAACCCTCCGGGAGACAGGAGCGCAAGGATAAGGCGACTTATGGATCAAGCGTTCGTCCTGGACTTGGACAATCTTCAAAGCAGAACTCCCACTTTGGAAATGTTGGGACCACCACAGAAACTACTGCCAGGAGTCTTCAACGATATCGCGGCGGTCCGAATGAGGATCGAATTGAGTTCATGGAACGTCATGCTGCACTTGCGGCTAAAGGACTATGTGTCACCTTGGAACAAGTTTCGATCTTCCTACATGCCGATAATACTGTGACGTCCTTCTTCGAAACAAGCGCAGATGACATTGAGTCACCAATTGTTAGGCGCCTCACGTCACCCGAGACTATCCTTCGTCAGTCATGCGACGCCAGTATGCTTTTGCAGGCCATTCTCGATGCCGTGATTGATCTTGCGATTCCAGTCACGATGGCTTATCAAGACGCTATCGGAGACCTCGAATTGGAGGTCCTAACTGATCCAGACATTGAACAGTCGAAGTCTTTATATATCTTGACATCTGAGATTGCAGTTCTGCGGAACTCCATGCAGCCTATGGTGGCTGTGATTAATGCTCTCCGTGATCACCGGTCTGAACCTGTCGGCATACCAGGCTTTGGGATCCTGCGCAATCCCCTTAGCCCAGGTGCCGCAGAATCCGTTGAAACCCACCCACATGTTGGGATAACACCGAATCTGAAGAGTATTGGGGGCACGGGGGTTACTATCAGCTCTATGTGTCATACATATTTGGGCGATGCCCTAGATCACTGCATTACCATTGTTGAAGGGTACGATCAGATGCGGCGTAACGCTGATAACATGATTGACCTTATTTTCAATACTATTGGTACGTTATCTGGCAACTCATGAAGAAATGAAGAAATCAAACTAATACGCTGTGCAGGTGCCTACCAGAATGAAAGTATGAAGCAGCTTACTCTTGTGACTTGTCTTTATCTGCCTATGACATTCTTGACAGTATGTATAGCTTGGATCTATTAAAAACGCAGCTGACAGTTTTAGGGTTATTTCGGAATGAATTTCACGCATTTTGGGGCAATCGAAAACAATGAAGGGTATGTCTTTCAACCCTTCTCTTCTGGACTTGTTGCTAACTTGAGAAGATATTTCTGGAAGATTGCAGTACCCTTCGTCTGCGCCACGATTTTCTTTCTGATGTAAGTTCTGATTCTGATACTCGTGTCTAACACAGTCGAACTAACCTGCATCTTTAGGCGCGACAAAATCCAGCGCTACGCTGTCATGCTTGCTCAGCGACGTTTGATTGTTAGCTCGAGGAAGCAGAGACAAGAGAGGAAGCATAAATAGATCGTGAACCTCCTGCTGCTTACTGTTCTTATTATTATATTAAGACGTTGGTGCGTCCAGCTGTTTTGGCTTGGTCTTTTTTTTTCATTCTTTGTATACATTTTGTTGCTTGCAGGTCTAGTCAGCTCTTGTGTTAATACCTTTCACTTCAACACTATTTTAATATCACTTGTTAATAGTATGACTCCTAGAATCATGGTAGGCATAATTCGACTGTTTTCTATATTCCTAATGTACAAAGAAGTCATCAACGGTCTTAATACCGGAGTATATTAGACACATATTATACATGGCCTACAGGCCATCACTCCAGTGACTTCCGCCGATAAGCCGAGTAAGCTTTCCACGGGAGTCTCCAGTCTGACCGAAGCAACTCCGGGCTGAAAATATCGAAGTCTTGCTTCTGAAGGCGATCCAACCACATGCGTGTGCCGACGGCCGGTAGGAAAACACCAAATGCCCGGTTGACCTCATCGAGAGGTGACTCGCCGCTCCGAGCACCATGGGAAACATCATATTCATGGCCCTCTTCGCCCTCATGCTCAAAGTCATGACCGACATCCTCTCCAGCGCGGAGGTTGCTCAACATCTGCTGTGCGGTAATCAAATGATCACTTGCCCGCGTGGCAACAGTGAACACTGCATCCCGGAGACCCTCGGCTTGGGCTCCATACCGGAGGACATCCTCTTCCTTAACACCAGCCTCCGCCATAGCATCTAAAGGCAACATCACAGCTCCTTGCTTCGCACCCCCTCCTATCACGGAACCCGCACCCGCACCAGGAGGTGCTTGAGCAGACGGCGCAGGGAACGCAACAAACGGCAGCCCACGCAACACAGCCGCAATACCCACGGCCTTTCCGATATGAGACGCAACATGGTCTGCCGTTACTGAAGCCATGGGCAATGCCGAGAGCGTGAGGTACATAAGCGTCGAGTATGTATTCTCAGCATAGGACTCGAGCGCGGCGATATTTGGGTATGGGTCGTTTGTTAGGGTTTGCTCCCGCGAGTTAATTATACGGGTTAGCCAGCCCTTGCTTATGCGCGCGCGGCTCTGCGTGCGCTCGTGGAGTTCGGAGATGGCGGATGCAAGCAAGATCGCCACAGGTTCTTTTGGTGGCGTGCCGGCAAGGATCTTCGTTACTGAGTCACGCCAGAATTGGAGTCGCATCAGTCCAATTGTGGGGGAGGAGGTTGTGTCGGGGATCATGGAGAGGGAGACGTTTAATGCGCGCAGCGCAATATAGAATGATTGCGCATGTCGTGGGATGAAGGTGCTCAATGTGTAGGAGGGGCGGTCATATTTTCTTTGGGAAGAGCGATATGTTAGCTTTCGGACTTGTTTCCATTGTTGCAGCTTCCATGAGCTTGGAAGGCCGCAGGGACGGTGTTTCATACGAGAGAAGAGCAACACAGTATTTGTGAGCGCCTTGGACCTCTTCCGCGGTAATAGGTGCGGCGATAGATTGTGTCCGGCTGAAGTGTCGTTTTTGCGATTGGAAGCTTCGTAGATAAAATCGACAGGCACTACTTGCCTGGCATGACCGAGCTGTGCTGAACAAAGACATGTTCAATGTGAAGTTGACAAGCTCCGGGGAAAAGATTCGATGTAATCGGGGCAAAGGCATTGGCCGGCCAGTCTTTGTCAGCGATGCCCTAGGCCCGGGCACCTAACTATAGGTGAACTTGTTACGAATATACATCTTAAAAAAATTAGAGAAAATTGTATTAAATAGGAGTAAACTAGATAAATCAAATAAACCCGAAGAATAAGTATTCAAATGTCTTGAAAAGTGCAGATATCAAAATCTAATCTCCAACATTTTAGCTGACGTCGATCCGCCTGACTTCGCGTTTCTCGGCGCGTCTCCCGGAACTCAACTTTTTTCATCTTCTTCACGAAGCTCAATGGTATAGCCAATATGAGCGAGGATGTAGAACAACGCCCAGCAAAGAGGCAGCGTTTCTTCACTGACAATCCATCCTCACCTTTACCCACGAAACCCCGAGATACAGACGCGTCCCTACCTCATTGTCCGGAACATGAAGAATATCGAACAGGTCATGGCGCTACACTCGAAATTCCGTCACTCAGCAGCATCCCAAAAAGCTGTGCTAGTTTGGAAAACGAAACAGTTCAACAGCATACACAAGTCCGAACGACGGAAAGCCTAGGGTTACCCATTGCGGACGCTACGGCTACTGCCTCTCCACACGAGAATGGAGTAGACCAACAAATAGAGGAGGAAGTGTCTATCAGTACCACAACAAGCACACCAGCAGATGGCTTTGATGTCGACCTTTTCACTAGTATCGTGGGCGAGCAACTACCTGCCGATTCAATCAAAATCATTCAATCAGCCGCTTCCAATAACCTCGAGCGAGCTGTTAACATATACTTTGATGGATCATGGAAGAAGCCCGTGCGGATAAATGGCAGCGTCCCGGCCAGAAACCGGAAACCCGCTCTTCCGGTACACCCTAGCGCCGAAACGCCAGTTGAAAGCGAATCGGTCCTGCGAAATCAGCCATCGGTAAGGTATGTTGGCGCATTTGGTGTGGGAGGATGGGCAACGAGAAGTGGTTTGGGATTTCTGAAGCACGGAGACACCGTCAACATTGAACGCGCACGCTCACAGCCAACGATGAAACGTGGCCGAGGAGGCAAAGCATTTGTCAACCACAAAAGTGATGTTTTGACTCGATTCACGAATACCGCGGGGCAAGAAATCGGAAGGCTGCCACATGAGACCGCTGAATGGGTTTCGACACTGATTGATCAGAAGATCTGTCGGTTTGAAGGAGTCTGTGTGTTTGTACCCGACAGGGTGCGAGTCAACGATACCATATATTTACAACTCCGAGTCTACCTGCGAAAGGAAGCTTTCCAAAGCGGGTCGCTCGCTGCTTTGAACACCGACGACAACAGGTCCACCGGACTATTTGAGGAGAAAGAGAGCACTGAGGAGAAGAATCTACGACTACGCCAAGTCGGTCTAGTGAAATTGTTTCATGAAATTAATCTTCATCCTACCTCGACCAACCCGACTACCGAAAAGCACAAAAGAGATGGCATCCTGCGTGCCGCGGAAATTGCCGAGCAATATGACAGCACGAAGAAGGAGAACAAACCAAAGTCAAACAAGGATTCAAATGACTCCTCGGGCGAAGACGACAGCGAAGAACTGGAAAAAGATCAGCTCGATACCCTGTATCAAAAAGCACAATCATTTGATTTCAACATGCCAGCGGCAGATCCAGCACCTACCTTCACTCTTAATCTGCGCAAGTACCAGCAACAAGCCCTTCATTGGATGCTGTCAAAAGAAAAAGACTCAAAGCAAACTCGAGAAAAGTCCATGCATCCATTGTGGGAAGAATACACTTGGCCTAGAAAGGATGTTGACGACAAAGATCTACCACAAGTTAAAAATATTGACCATTTCTATATCAACCCGTATTCGGGAGACCTTAGTGTGGACTTTCCCGCCCAAGAGCAACACTGCCGAGGCGGAATCCTGGCCGATGAAATGGGTCTGGGGAAAACCATCGAGATGCTCAGTCTGGTCCATTCGCACAGAGTCGAACCTGATCCACGAGTTTCGAATGGTCTCAGCTCAGTGAATGACCTTGCTAGAATGCCGAACTCTTCCGCGGTGGTGCCGGCGCCATATACCACTCTAGTCGTTGCACCGACCTCTCTAATTTCTCAATGGGAAAGCGAGGCACTCAAAGCCGGGACGTTGAGAGTTCTTGTTTACTATGGGTCAGACAAAGCTGTCAACTTGAGAGAATTATGCTGCGAATCCAAATATGCAACAGCTCCACAGGTTATCGTCACCAGTTATGGTGTGGTATTGTCGGAATTCCGCCAGCTCGCGCTCCAGTCTGCTCTAGGACCCAGTGCAAACGGGGGTCTATTCTCTGTGGAATTCTTCCGAGTAATTCTTGACGAGGCCCATGTGATCAAGAACCGCCGTTCCAAGTCCGCTAAATCATGCTATGAGTTAAAAGCAGCCCATCGGTGGGCACTGACTGGAACGCCCATTGTCAATCGCCTTGAGGACCTCTTTAGTCTGGTTCGTTTCCTAAAGGTTGAGCCATGGAGCAATTTCTCCTTCTGGAAGACGTTTATCACTGTACCCTTTGAGTCTAAAGAATATGTGCGCGCCCTGAACGTCGTGCAAAGCGTACTAGAACCTCTTGTTCTTCGGCGGACCAAATCGATGAAAACCCCAGAGGGCGAGCCATTGGTCCCCTTGCCCAAAAAGACAGTCACTATTGAGGAAGTGGAGCTATCGAAGCAAGAACGAGAAATTTATGACTGCATATATACCCGAGCGAAACGAACTTACAACGACAATGTCGTGGCTGGCACACTATTGCAATCTTACAGCACAATCTTTGCTCAAATTCTTCGTCTTCGCCAGACCTGCTGCCACCCTATAATGACACGCAACAAAGCCATCGTTGCGGAAGAAGAGAGTGCAGCGGTAGCAGCTGATGCAACCAATGAATTTAAAGATGACATGGATCTTCAAGAATTGATCAACCAATTCACGACAGAAAATGAGAACGCCAGCTCTCAAGATACCTCCGGGGCGATGGTTAAGTTCACTACCCATGCTCTTCGGCAGATCCAAAGCGAGTCCAGCGGCGAGTGCCCTATCTGTTGTGAAGAGCCTATGATCGATCCTGCGGTAACAGCTTGCTGGCACAGTGCATGTAAGAAATGCCTCGAAGACTTCTTGCAACACCAAATGAACAAGGGCGTCGAAGCACGGTGCTTCAACTGCCGTGCTCCAGTGGATGCAAAGAACACCTTCGAAGTAGTACGACATCCGTCCTCAAACTCGGTTTCTTTCGGAGACGACACTGTTAGCAGCACGCCACCGACTAACTCTCAACCTGCCCCACGAATCTCCCTCCGTCGCATACACCCCCTCTCTCCTTCCGCCCACACTTCAGCCAAGATCCACGCCCTTATTAATCACCTCGGACGCATCCCTGCAAATACCAAATCCGTTGTCTTCTCGCAATTTACCTCCTTCCTGGACCTGATCGGCCCACAACTCTCCAGAGTGGGAATCTCGCATCTTCGCCTCGATGGCTCAATGCCTCAAAAGGCCCGTGCCGCTGTACTAGCCGAGTTCACAAAAGCAGAGAGCTTTACCGACGATGACATTGTCGACATGGAAGATGATACCCTAGGGGGAGCGGGCCTGCAAAAATTAGCCCTCCCTCGCCCTCGACTCCAGCCCCTACAGTCCTACTCATTTCCCTTCGTGCCGGCGGCGTAGGCCTCAACCTAACAACCGCGAGCAATGTCTTCGTGATGGATCCGTGGTGGAGTTTCGCTATCGAAGCGCAAGCCATTGATCGTGTCCATCGAATGGGCCAGACACGCGATGTCAATGTGACTCGGTTCGTCGTCAAGGATTCCATAGAAGGTCGCATGCTGCGCGTGCAAGAGCGTAAAATGAACATTGCTGGCTCGCTTGGGTTGAAGATTGGCGGTGATGATGGTGATGCTGATAAGGGGAAGGACAGAATGGAAGAGTTGAAAATGTTGTTCGAGTAGTTCTGTTTACACTTGGAATGCTCTGCTCCGGGGTGTGGGTGCGGTCAAATACCATTTATTTCCCAATTATATACTATAGCCCTGGAAATCCCATTTACATTGTTGGACTTTTCCATCAACTTTTACAAGTATAGGATATTGATACACTTCAGAAATAGGCATGTCAAATAACGCATTTATTAATACACACATTACATCTCGAAATTTCAAAAAATAAAATAATAAGGAATACCCAAAACCCATGTCAATACATCGGAGGCTTCATCACAAACACAATTCCTATTAGATCCAATCCAAACAAAGACCGCTCACTACCTTTATTTGCTCGAATAATGAATATGCTTCTTGACACTCTCCTTCACCTTCGACATAGGACCCTGCTTCCCATTACCATAAGAAGAAGAAGAAGAAGAAGAAGACTTGTTGCTGTTCCCGTTAGATTCACTGGAAGAACCTATATAACAAAAATGTCAGCACCAATCAAAACCAAACCCGTCAAGAATATACGGCGAGAAGCTAGGACAGGAAGAGGAAAACATACTCTTCTCGATATCATCCTCCTTGCCCGCAGGCTTCTTTCCTCTAAACTCCTTCTCAAAGTCCTCAGCAGGGCTCGGCGCAGAAACCTGCGGGCCTTGGAGCGCCTCCTTGCTCACTACCTTGTTGTGCACTGGGCGGGGAGCGTCACTACCCTCGCCACCTTCGGCCTGCGAGGTACTGGTACTGCGCTGTTCTTGGTTGTAGCCGGAGTCGTTGTCGTCTTTGCGGCCGCTGGACTCTGTATAGCCGCCGGAGATGGGCTTGTTTTCTTTGCTTTGGCTAGCTTCCGTGGGGTCGCCGGAGATGGATAGAGCTGGGGTCACGCTGGTACAGGCGCTGATGGAGGTTGGGGCGCGAGGAGTGGTAATGCTGGTCACCTCGGTTTCTTGGGGCTTGTTGTCTATGATGGGATGTTGGGGTGCGGTGTTGGCGTTTGATTTAATTGCGCCGGGTTGCTCTGCGGTGTGAAACGTTAGTTATATTGGACATTTATGGTGTTTTGGAACTTGTGAATATCATTGTGGCAATCTAGGAATTGAGGCTTGTGTAAACATATGTTTTAAGTTGTACATACCATCGCGGTTGCCGGCGTCATAGGGATCTGTGGCACGTCCTCTGCCTTGGACACCGGAGATGGGCTCTTCGCCGTGCTGTTGGGCTTGGGGGAGTTGTCCCCGCCCCAGATGACAGTCGAAGCAGCGTTGACGTATTTGTTGACAGTCTCCATGGTTGTATCGTTGTGATATATTTCAATTGTTGAAGGTATGATATGTTATAGAGGGTGTATTGGGTAAAGGAGAATGATAATAGTAATGTGTATATAGCTCAAAATGGGTGTATCAAACTACTAAGTGGCAAGTGGGCAGACAGGTCAAGCTTTAAGAACCCACAGATTGAGCTCTTGTGCAATACGTCAGTGGTGATGGGCCACGGTGGCTTGCACATGGATCATCCCCGGTCTTTCGTGGGATCTCATTTGATTCCACTGAATAGTCAATGGCTTGCGAATGAGAATTCAGTGATATAAATTGGTCAAGTCGAGGAGCGGCGATCGTCTAGGCCTATGTCATATAGTGATGTCATGCTATATTTATATATCACGTGATGTTATACTAACAAGGCAGATCAGATTCCATGCAAAAGTACGGAGTAATAAGAATAAGAGAACTATAATATAATCAGCTCATATAATTAATTCAACTGGCCGACCTATTAACATAGTAAACATAAACACACGTCCGGATAAAAAGGTCCCGATGTCTAATGCTTAGCAAGAAAAACAGTAAACTTGAAGGAACAAAGAAAGAAGATCAAAGAAACTCCCTGAAAGTAAAAAAAACAAATCTAGTCATGAGATATCGTGGGTGTAGGGGTAGAAGCACCCTCCTTTGCGTTTGGGTTCAAAGGTTGCGCTGGGTCATAACCGATGCTCTTAACAATTCCCAGTCCTTTCGTCTTGCCCTCACGGAAGAGGACACGGTCCCCGGGGGCTAGGAATTCAGGACGCTGTACGAATCTGAACGCGACTAACGCTCGATCTCCGGTACGAATGAAAGGGCGGTCGATGTCAATGACCGAGCATGTCTGACTGACTGCCCCAACATGAAGCATAGCCTGGTATTTAGGCTTGATGGTAGTTGCATGAGAAAGAATTAGGACTATTTTTTCTTTAGCATGTGGCCAACAATCCCGAATGACCAACTTACCCTCCGCGACGAATTCCCGATACACCTTTGGAGGCTCCTCCATCTTTCTCAACACTACCATACCCTTGCGTACTTCCTTCCGGCGGACACGCTTCAGGGCGAAAGATACAGACTGACCAGCAAAGCAAGCATTCACCTGGATACGCTTGCGTTCAATGGACTTGATGACTGTGGTGGTGAATTGACCGAGCGAGTCTGGTCCTACTATAACCGAGTCTCCGGCATGAATGACACCGGACTTGACCACTCCTGAGACAACTGTACCCACATGAGGAACGGAGAAGGTGTCGTTGATCAGGAATTCGAAGGCTCCCGCAGCGTCATATTGACCGCGGTGGGGCAGGATGTTTAGGAAGGTCCGTACTAGGTCGAGTTTTTCTCCTGTGACATTGGACACTTGGAAGATAGGACATATCCGCTGACTGACGAATTGCGTGGCCGTGTTAATGGTCTCCTCCATATCCTTGACGAAGATTGGAATCTTGCGCGCGCCAGGTGATTTGAGAATCTTGGTCAGCTGAGATAAAGTCTCTTGCAGAATATGAGGCGGGCAAATGTCAATCTTGGTGACAATCACCATGACAGGCACATTGAGGGCCAAAGCAATACCCAGATGCTCCTTGCTCATTCCGATCAGACCATTATTGGCAGCGACCATCAGCAAGCAGTAGTTGGGGCTGCTGCTCAGCATACCGAAAACCGTGGTGCGCAGATACCGCTCGTGGCCTGCCAGGTCGGAGAAGGAGATGACCTTAGCAGAGCGATTGACGATGTCTTCCCAGGAGAGCTTCCGGCCCTGGGTATTGCCAACTATTTCACCCCGGCTGTCGAAACCCATGATCTCCAACCCGACGGAGCTCGTACGCCCGCTTTCGATCTCGTGCTTATGGCGGAACAGGTTTACTCGCGCACGACCACGTCCATCGTCAAGACCGCCTTTCACCAGCACCCCCAGCGTAGTGCTCTTTCCAGCATCGACATTCCCCACTACGGCAATCCGGAGCTCCGCCATCTCCTCGATATTATCAATATGGTGGCGCACAAGGACCTTACCCCAAGCACCTTGTACCCGGTCATTGGTGATAGGCGATTCTTCGGGGCCTCCGACGTTGTAGGTCAGTAATACTCGGCAGTGGGCGGGGATGGTCTCGGCTGCTTCGCCCAGACGCTGCAGCGCTGTCTTCCATTGTCCGAGATCGAAGCCCATGGATTCACCACCATCCTCCAACCCGAGATCGACGATAGTTTCCCCGTGGCCTTCATCAAGGCGAGTTTGTACTGTCGCAGCTAGCACTTGCAGGCTGTCTTCGATGGCATCGCTTGTACCGAGAAGGAGCTCCTTAAGCTTGGCTGGTTGAGGGGCATCGGACAGCCCTAGTTGATCAAGAATATCAAGCTCTGCATGGTCCTCAAGTTCGCGCGACACGCTAGCGGTGGAATATCCGCTGTCGCTGGGTGCGACTTGCCCGGAGCGGTGGGCTTGCTGTTTATCGGCATACTCGGCGAATTCACTGAGGGCCTAAGTTGAAGATCATGTAAGATGAGGAACTTTCTCATCTTCCCTGGAAATACATACGACTTCACCTCGTTTTCGCTCCTCATGGCTTAGTTTCCTGGTTGTAGGCATAGTGTGGAGATGGTAAGTTCGACCGTGTCAACTACTCGCTGTGCCGCCTTTTCGGGGTAGTGACGTTATTGGTCGGTGGATCGGATCGCCGTTACTGTTGGCGGATGTGAAGATGTATTCGAGTGATCATAGTTTTCTTTTGCTGAACAAAAGATAGAAGGATATCGAGGTACATAAATATTTGAAGTGTTCCGAGGAGTACATGGTAGAGGACATGGGGGGAGCTTTATCGATAAGTTGGAGTCAGTTGAGTCATCGACCATAACCATCCATTCCCGTCTGGGTAACGGAGAGCTATACCAGCCACAATTTACCAGTGACTCAATATAAATTCTACTAGGAAGAACGTCGAATCATAAGGAATACTGTGACTAACAATTGCACAGCCTGTTTAGGCTCAGGCTATATCCAGCTATATCCAACGGGACTAGTATGGATGATCATAAACCAATTTCCATGGTATCGTTACCTATCTATGTTGACTGCATTTTGTGGTATCTCGTGTCCTTCCTAGTATTTCCCCCGTCGCCGGACGCCTTCCTCTATATCAAGAGGCATATTAAGCTCATCATGCCTGGGGGAGATCAAGACGACCGAGTCTCCTAGACAGGAATCAGCAACCCCCTCAAAATAATCTTAAAATTGTTCCATAATTGCTTCGACTCACCTCGCACGAAAAGCATCTCTTCTTGTTTCTTGATTGTCTGTATCCGAGAACCTAGATTAGTTCGTGCCCCGCGTAAATTTCCCAGATTCAAATGATCCCATACCCGCAAAGTCTCCTCTTCGTTCTCATCCTCCTCCACCACATAGATTGTCTCCTCCACATCGCCGAGAACTAGGTTGCAGTGACTATCGTAGGCCTGTAAACACATATCAGAGTCAGTAGGGATCCTGAAGATTGCCAGATGGAGGGTAGCTCACGTGAAGGCGGCCCTTGAGTTCACGGTCACCGCGCAGCTTCACAAAGACGGTCTCATCGAGGGAGAGGCGAACAAGATCCAGGGGCTCCGAGACGGATGGACCGCCAGTATCTTCATTGTCGGCCATGATAGAAGGGTGATTGGATTGGATTAAGTGTAGGTCCACACACACGCAGAATCAACGAGCTCTGGCTGGTGCCTAATAGGGTTTAGCGTTTTACTTGGCAAAGAGGGAGATGAGTCAGCAATTTACCCCGGGTTTTCGACTTTCACGAGGGATCCACTTGGGAACTCTTGACATATGTGGTGGAGCAATAGAGGAAGGGGATATCGATGTTGTAAACACATAAATCAGAAGTAGTCAACCACATATTACAACAATAAAATCAATAATTACTAAATACTCTCGCCTAACTCCTTGTGCAGGGGTGTTCCTGTGCTGACTTGATTTGAAGCACAACCCGCATGAAAGTACCCTGCCAAAAGAGTCGGGGTCGAAGCGCACTTCCCCTCATTTATGCCCCTGGTGGTTTCGTGCTCTTTTTTCTTTTTTTTTTCTGATTCTTGAAAGACACTGATTCCTCACTACAATTTCCCCATGCGAAGGTTCTCACTTACTGAGAAGTTCGCTTCTCGCTGCGGTGTCTCGTCTCGTTCTAGAGACAGCATCGGCAAACGCAGACAATCTCCCCCACACACCCTCATATCGGTTGCCTCAGGCAGGTACCTTGCGTCGCGGCCTTTACAAATACAACGACCTGGGATATTTCTGTACATAGAACGCGACAAACTTTCTATCCCAATTCCATACGGCAATTGACTACAACAAGTCAACAATGGAACAGCGAACTCGCTGTTCCACGTCCTGCGACTTTTGAAAAAGAAATCCAAGTGCCTGAATGGAGCTCACCCGAAGAGGAGGCGCGATACAGATCGTACTTCTACCGAGTCATTGAGAACGGACAACCGAACCAAGTGAGAGAAGCCATGGCCGACCCACGGTCGGTAGAACTAGTTGGATCGCTCCCACCAACTGTGTTTATCGAAGCCCTGCATCTTCTCTCTCCAGCCCATTTCGTCATACCCTACCGAGATCTTCACCATACGCTGCATGGGTGGGGAGTGTTAATGTTAGGGCTCAAAACCTTGGAAGCGGTGTTCGACGACTTTACGAGGGACTTGCTCACGATCATCCAATATAGAACCGTGGCTGGGCATCCACCTCAACTAGCGGAGTACACTCACCTCTTCGACTGTGCTCAGGCGATGGGAAATGGCCCCTTAATCAATGCCCTCTGGGATGGGATGAATGACAACAATGTTACTCCCGACACAGTGTGCTATAATCACTATATGTCAGCATTGGTCTGGAACCACTGCTACGTCGGAAAAGAAGCATACAACACTCGCATCATCCCTCACAGCTACAAAAAGCGGCGCATGGTAAATCCGAATCCTGGATACCGTGGCTACGCAACGGCGTGGAACAGTGTCAAAGGAACTGTGCTGGATATATTCAGTCGAATGAGCCAGGACGGGCTTGCTGGGGATGTGCAGACGTACATCAACGTCCTCCTCGCATCAGCCCGAGTTGGCGATATGGAAGCTACCAAGAATATCCTTAAGACTGTATGGAACGTTGAGGTTGATGCCATCTTAGCTGAAAGGGATGACTCGGTGTTGCCACCGGTTACCCCATATGATACTTGGTCGGGTCTGTACCCAACTGAACAGCTTCTTTTCGCCGTGGCCCATGCCTTTGGCACGAACAACGACATCTACGCCGCCATGAGAACAGTCGACTTCATGGCTTCCTCGTACAACATCACTATTTCAGGCAAGGTCTGGGCCGAGTTGCTTGAAAGGACGTTCACTCTCTCCAAAGAACACAAGCGGAGACAGGCAGAAGATGGACGAAAAGGACAAGTCCCAAGAGACATGGTCCGCGACATGTTTCAGGTATTGACGACGGAGCCATACCATGTTCCTGCTACTCTACAAATGTACCGATATATGACCCAAACCAACAAAATGGACCGCGATCTAGAGGCTTGCAAAACAGACATGCGTAAAGCATATGAAGTCTTGGGCCAAACGAGGTCAAAAAGGAAGGGAGCGAGAGACGCCGTTATGCAATGTTTGCAACCAGTCCTGGACAGCATGAGACCACCGACGAACGACGGGAAGAAAGTGCGGGATCCAATCAAGCACCAACGACAGAATGGCGTGAAACCAGACCTGTCACTATTACAATGTCCCCTGCTCGCCGAAGCCATCAATACATACGATCTCCTCCGACTCGAAGTTTTCCAGCAGATTTATCAAATGCAGCGCATAGCCTATTCAATGATCATCACCGATAAGTGGAGTGACATATCGCCCAAAGCGTGGGAGCTCCAAGAACGGCCCAAACTATTGGAAGAGTGGAAAGACTTTCTGCCAGAGCGTAACAGGTACGAATATAGAGACGGAGAGGTTGGAACGATCGATTTCCAAGGCGAAACGAATTCAAAGAGCCGCCACATGAGCCAGCATGGCCGCATTCATGCACGGCGGATAACAGATGGGTCGGTGGCACTGTTCGATCCAGTTGAGCCCAAGGTTCTCGACGATAGGATATTCTGGGAAATCTTGCTCTATGAGTACCCCCAGCTGGACCCGTCCATTTCGCCGCTCAATCGCATCTACTCCTTCCAGGTCAAGCACACCAAAGAATTAAGGGAAAAGCTCAAAATGCTGAAGACGCGGGTTGAGTACCCGGAAGGTCATCCTTTGTCGCAAGAGAATAATCCTTCGGCTGGGTTTTATGGTCGCATTCATGCGCTGGGCTTTGATGCTAAACCCCAAAATTCTATCTTCTGGCGAGATAGCAATCCTTGGTGTTGATTAGCAGGGCTTTTGCTTTTTTGTATCGTTTGAAGCATTTGCGCTCGCCATTGATCATACATGATGATATCCGTTTGTATAATTTCATGAACATAACTGTACGATTTTTGTCTTCATCCTTTTTTCTTCTCTAGGCTCTTCCCGTACTTAAAAGACATTTATATCCATTATGAAACACCTCGAGTAGATGAGCTTTGTAAGCTGAATAGTACCTAAGTAGAGATGAGTATACAAGAAAGCACATACGCCTTGAGAAATCATATGCAGGCATGAAGCGTGAGATATCAACGCAAGCAAAGGGCGATCAGCCAAAATGATACAAGATCTGAGCAAATGTAGGACAGATCTGAAGCTAGCCTTCCCATCCAGGGCATAGCAATTCCAAAACAGGGACAAGGAAAGGACCAGTCACCTAAACCTTCTCCCGCTGCAGGTCATTGACAGTCATATATCTCCCAATAGTGATCCACCCCCACCGGAACCAAACCATCTGACTCTTATGGCAGTTAACCATAGCAGACAACGCAGTTAACCACTCATTTATCGAGCTAACAAATAGCAGCCGCACAGGACCCGCCGCAGCCCCGGCCTCCTTCTTCTTCCTCGACCCCGTCAACCCAGCAACGAGGTTACTCCAGACACCAAGGAACATGGATACCGGGGCATCAAGCACACCCGCATACTTGCGAAACACCGAGGTCGTAGTGAGAGTATACAGCGTAACGGGAGAAGTAAAACCGGCCTTATCCTTCATGAGCGCGCGGACGAAGTTCACAGCGCCGTAGTACAGCGAGCGGTGATTAGGATGATTACTGATGCCATGCTTGTCGAAGGTAATGATGACATCGATAGTGGCGGTAGGAGCCTTATTACGATCGACACGTTTTCCGGGCATCTTCTGCAGCGCAGCCATTTCCGGCGCGAAAGCCGAGGCCAACAACGACGAAATCTGGTCTTCGTTCCAGTCCTTGTCCATTCCATCCGGGAAGCGGTTCCTGTCGTCCACGATAAACACGTCTGACTCGCTGCGTAGACCGAGTTGCTTTGCGGATTTCTGGAGCTCTTGTTTGCGCGTCTCACCTAGGCCGTCTGCGTCGCCGCTGCTGAGACAGAGGATCTTTAGGTGGTTGCCGAGATCGGGGTTTGTGAGGGATAGTACGGTTGGCGCGAAGAACATGGCTTCGTCATCTGGGTGTGCGATTAGGAGGCAGATGCGCTTGTTTTCGAGGCGTGGGAAGGACCGGGTGAAGGGTGAGGAGGAGGTTGAGGAGAAGGTCCAGAATATGAAGACTGCGGTTATAGCTACCGCTACTGCGGTCCAGTTGAATGGGGTCGACATTGTGTTGTTCAATTGCGTTGGTTTGTTTGCGAGAATTGTCTGGAGGTTTCCTGGGGTTCCACGCCTTGTGGTTCCGTTTCTCCGTGTGTTCCGAGTAGGATCGAGGATCGACCTAGGGTGGGGATATGGGTTGTGTTGCTCGATTAGATTATTTCTGGGGCTGTGGTAATTGGGCCGAGGCTGGTGCAATGCGGTGCTCAATTGTTACGTGGAATTGTTTATCAGGTGGATCGATCAGAGTAGACCAAACTCAAGTGTATAGTAGGGAAAAGCGAACCATCCCACTTGTGTGGTCAACTACTTTTGGGAAGAAGTAACAGCCAATTCCATGGTGTTACTGGAGCAATCCAAAAAAGAACACGGTGGCTTGAGCTCCTATCCGAAATAGGGGAAGCTCAAGTGATTCCAATGGCGATCCATCTCTGGAGGAGTCACGTGTCGGCTTTATCGCGATGCTCACATTCTCTCATTTTGATAAAATGGCAAATGAGGTCTAAATATGATAAATTACATATGATGTGAATATGATGTACATATACCGTATTCGAATACTCGTGTACATTGGCTTGTAGAAAGTTATGGATCCGCTGTTTGTGGCAATCCAGTTGTGAAGTTGGTTATTTTATACATCCATGGATTGTCATTTAGTGGGATTTAAGCCATATCGAGTATGTATTCTATTTCTAGTCTGTGTCTATAAGAGCTCATATATATACCATGCAATGCATAATGCATAATAATAAGCCAACTTTTGCCTAATTGGACCGTTCCAAAAAGAAAAAAATGTTATAGTCCATCCTAGTGTATAACTAGTAGCTCTTAATCTTAGCTTAACTCCCCAAGAGACAGACAGCATAGGTAGAAGAAGTGAGAATATATATGTTAGACCATGAACCCATGAAAACCAACAAACAATTTATTCCATAGAGAAGCATTTTCCTTTCCTCTCATCACAAACATACTCCCTTTGAGACTAGCCTAGGTTGGCCAAGTGATGATAACTTGTAAGGTGATAAAATTGATAGGGATATTAAGCTAGAAGGCAAGAAAGAGTGGTTGTGGCCCTAGCCCAAGGTACCACAAAATTGTATAGATCAGATCAATGGAGGGTCGTTGCCAGGTAATACCTCTTATATGCCTCTCACCAAATGTTATAAATGAGACCAATTCTCCCTATACTTTGGTCTTGCTTGAGACATGACTTTGTTGATAATCTAGACTATTCTACTTTCTATCAACCTCTACGGTATTTTCTTCTTTGTAGTTAGCATCTCTCCGTCGACTTGGATGAATTAGTTATGAGTCACTGCTTAGATAAATAGTCTGCGGAAGCTCCTCGCTCTTCATATTATTTTACTTTCCATTGGTAAGTATGTAATGCCTGATCCTAGCCCTGGAGTGAAAGGTGTATAGATTGTAGACAAACCCTTAGAGACGCCTGGGTATCTAGCAACCCTAGCCACTGTCTGCTTATTCTCCACACCAAGATCTGATAAGGCGTAGGATGCTGATATGGAAAGTCTTATTTAGAGTCTATTCTTGAGTGACACAAGGCTAAAACGAACAAAGATTAAGTATTGGAGCCTTTCTCTCCCTTCTAGACACGGTTCGTGTTACATCACTTTGGTCAGCCAACTACAAAACCAACAAACGCAACACAACACGTATTCCTAATTTGATAGATGAGTCTGGCCCAAACCAATACACGAATCCTTTCCACACCGCCAGCCAAATCGAAGCCATTGCATCCAACCGGCTAACGGGCCGGTTTTCATAACGATCGACTCATTGCCAAGCTAATGGTTAGCTAATTGTTACTTCCAAGGACGGCCGTCTCCGACACATAACCTAGAAAAAGTCGAAACTACGGTTTCGGCCCCATTAAGGGTGGAGTGGATTCCACGCTATAGTATATTCTTTACTTAAGCCAAGGTCAGGGAAAAAGAACAGGGCAGAATGTGAACCAGGGACGAGTGTTAGTATAGCGGGCCATGAGTGGTGAGGCTAAAGATCACGTTGCGACGGGCCGAGTATAAAGTTCCGAGTGGATGACCGACAGAAATTTTCTGCTTTCCCGCGCTTAAGCGGCCCCCCGCCCATTCTCCGGCGGACCTTTTTTCTTTTTTTTCTTTTTAATTAATTATTGAATTCCAATTACGGAGTAGTTTACTTGTTTTGCGCTTTTAAATGGCGCCATTTATAGAGCGTTTAGAAAATATGTTGCAAAGATAGAAGTACACGATGTACATCACGTCGGCTGAGGTACTTTGTTATTATGACGAGATGGCGTTATTCTCACATGGCATATGGCTTAATGAGCGGAGCACGTTTCTCCACGATGTACTTTGTTATAATCCAAGGAGTTAATTCGGCAAGTAATTAAATATAAACAAAACAAAACAAAACAAAAAAATAGATCGAAGACTGGCAGAAATAGATCGGAGGGGTAATCCGAGATCGCCCCGAAAGAGGAAGTTCGCCTGAGACGCTGGCCGATTTAGCAACAATTATTGGTTAGTCCTTCCGACAAAGCCAGCGGTGGACGACAGCCACTGATTTGCGATCGTGACTCTGTTGATCCAGTATATTAACCATAATGATCCTAGCCTTGACATTGGTATACCTCTTATAGTCAGTCCGTGGAGAAGGAGAAATAAAGACAGTGTGGGTCTACTTTCTATAATCTATCACGCCTTTACAACAATGTTGTATATTGTATAGTATTACCTGGATCAGGATAATTTTGCGCATATAAGATCGATCTACCTCAAGAGCGCACAGCATCAAATCTGAGATGCACCAAGAGCTGACGTGTGCGGGATTGAAAGAAGAAAGCGGAATTGCATCACCGCATCCGCGTTTCCAAACCCGATACAGCTACAAAACATGCCATGGCGTGATCAAATCCCTCAGCTCACCCTAGAGCTCCGAGGAAACAACTACGGCTCCATAATGCCGTAGTGCCGTAGTGAGTCAGGAATCCTGAGCGGATGCACGACCCTAAACAAGCCGCAATTCTTCAAGCTCCCTGTATGCACCCAAAATGTCTGTGCTGTAGCTCCAGTACCTGGACACCCTGCGCGCGAGGCTGATGCTTATAGGTGAGGATGAGCGGTTAACTGCTGATGCTGTTGTTGTTAGGTAATTAGTGTACGTGGCAGGGATGGTGATTCGTCAAGAAGGCGGACCTTGGGAGCACGGAGCATATCTTGACAGTTGAAGGGCTAGAACCTTTGTTTTTGGATTGTTGATCATATGTACAGAGGACTTTATATGGTATATTTTGATATGCTTCACTTTTGATCCTTTTGTTTCTTTTCTTTTTCTCAAGGGTTCACAGATCTCGCAATTGCCTAGGTTTATGCCCCGCAAATTGCAAGCCTTGCAGTGCGGGGTAGAGGCATATAGCATAGTCGGGTGCCATGGCCTTGAAAAGGGCGTACCCCCGAAGTGTAAGGACTCCTATAGTCCACTTTTATAGATCAGACGACTGATCTTCTATGTTGTACTTAGGCGGTCAATGAAATAAAAAAAAATGAAATAAAAAAATGAAAAATGAAAAATTTTCCGGGTGGAGCTCCGCGAAGGGTCCTTTTCCATCGCGTTTTGTTGTCCCAATGCGGAAAGGTGGACTTTATTTAGGGGGGACGCTAGTCGAAGA